AATTCGTACGACCTCTTCTAGTAGCGCTATAGCCTCCGGAACTTGGTTATTTCCAAGGTAGGCGCTGGCGAGATTGCGCTGCATGGCTAGCCGGTCTTCATGATCCTTTGGGAGAGTAGCACATACTATCTCTATCTTGTGTAGCAATGCTATTTCCGACTGGCTATCCGCTACACCATCATAATATGAAGCCTTCTGGAAGTAAAACGATAGCAGTTCCTGGGTCGGGTGTTCAGAGTCGACGTTCAATTTCTTGAAAACATAATTAAGTTGTTGCCCAAGCTTGCTATAGTCGCTGAAATTTTTAAGTGTCACCGAAACTCTGAGTTGAATGGGCAAGATGATGTCTTTTTGATTCCAGTCAGATGCCACTTCCATGCCGTGGTCCACAAACGAGCGTACATGCGCCTGGAGATGCTTTTGTAAGATTCTCCAAACATCGGCGCCTTCATGATAACCGCTAGAAATCGAAATGATGGCCCCAACTCCTACCCAAGAATCCGATTGTTGCTTTATACTCTGGCGGTCCTTGGCCCAAGCATGTGCGAGTGGGTGCATAGATATGACTACTGCTTTGATGTCATCAATGGTTCTTGATTCTGTGCTTGATGCTGTGACCAGAGAAAGCGATTCCAGGAGATGGATTCCTTCTTGTATACGGAAAGGATCCCATGTGGTGAGGTCCACCGGAATGAAGGCGGGTAGGTGTGGGATAAGTTTGGAAACATCCTCGATCCAATGCTCACGAGCTCTTTCATCGCTGACTGTACCATCTAATATTTCTCGGGACCATTTCCATGCGTGGAAAGAGATTTCTTGGACTGGGAATCCAGTATAATGTAGCATGGAAAGGACATCCAGCAAGCATAAAGCATTTGCGCCTGCAGTACCGGACTTGGCTAAGACAGCGGCGGATGCTTCGAACGTAGCATAGATATCTCCGTACCTTGATTGCGCTTGCCTTGGCCTAAATCTGGAAAGCCGTTTTCTCTGGGCTTGGTATACGGCGGGGTATTCTTCCAAGGTGCAGTATTTGGCAGCAATGTATGCTCCGGCTTGTATCAAAGCCTGAGTGTGCGAACCAAGCATTTCCGTAACTGTCTCTGCTGGCGCTTGGTAAAGTGAGTGCTGGTCCAGAGGAACTCTTGCAGCTTTCAGAAGCAATGCTATAGATTCCTCAGGACCAAGCGATTCAATGGCCAGGTAGCCCACGGTATGGTACGTCATGCACTCGAGGTTACGAGATGTCATGAGAACGGCTCCTCCAGATCCAGGGGGGAAATACAGTCCATAGTCATCGTCCAGGTCATCGGCATTATCCAGAATGAGTAGCCAGTCTCCTTTGAGGTTTGCCAACGAAATTCTTGCGTCTTCCAAAGTATTGGCCTGTGCTCCGATTGCGGTTGCGAGTGAAATGAAAGCCGCCTTCGCGCTGGATGGATCACTGACGTCGACCCAGAATACGCTCCAGGAGCTACAACTGTAAGCCGCCGTATTTCAGCCTTCGGTAAGGGTAACCGGTGACTCACTTTTTATGAAAGTCATCCGCAATTTTCAGAGAGATTTCGCTCTTCCCCATACCGCCCATTCCGGTAATGATGTATCTCTTCTGTTCGTCCATATCTTGCAGAAGGGCACGCTTGATATCCTTCAGCTCTTTATCGCGGCCCGTAAAAATGCTGCTGGCGGCTCGAGGGATGCCATGGAAATATGATTTTGCTGTAAGGTCAGTCAATAAGCAGCTAAGTAATCACAGTATGAATTTATAGACAAACCGTCTTTGTTGAATCGATTGGTGATTACCAATGGCCCGTTGTCAATCATTCTCCGGATCTCTTGAAAAATAAGCTTGTAGTTGTTGTCCTCGAAGCCGCTATACTTGTTGAGCCCAGAATGATCCGTGTCTAGGTACATCATTCTTCTACCTGTGATTGTAGCTGACTCTCTTGGGACCGTCTGCACTTGTGTTAGCTTCAGCTGAAGATTATGGCAAATAGATAATTTACCTTGACGCTGACGGGCCCGTAAACTGATTCCTGCTTCTCATAAAAGCACACAATATCCCAGTCTTTGTGGCTCGCAGAGAAGTCTTGGAGTATGCCGTGGAGGTCTGAACTGTTCCTTTTCAACGTGTTTAAAAGCTTATTGTCGCCACCTGCTACTCGAGTGTAGCGTTCACCAAAATCGGCGATGCCTGTTCCATGGAAAGGGGCCCCAAGAAAGATTATACCCGCGATGCAAGCTCGTATTCCAGCAAAATCTCCATTGAGGGCAGCAATATTCAGTGCCTTATTTGATTAGCGTTTGACAAATTCACACATGCAGGGAGGCGTCTTTACCTGCTGGATCACCAGACCGCCGAGGCTGTGACCAATAAGAATTAAAGGCCTTCTGCGTACCTGAGCATATCAAAGGTGATTAGGAGAATACAATCAAGTTTAGGCCTGATCAGCGATAACACACCTCTTTCCCACGGCTCTGAAACAGAAAGTTGAGCAGCTGGTTTCCGCATTCTCTCAAATCAGTCTTAAAGTTGCCGGGTGTCCAATCTGATTCATAACTGTAGGTGAAAACTCGTGCATTTGGGATTGACTTTGGCAGTAAATCTCGAGGCCAAAATTGATGGTCCTCGCTTCCGGTTGGCTTTTAGATATTAGCTAGGTTTTTGCACTAAGGGATGTAGCCTAATAACATACATTTTTGTTCATCAACTTTTTTTTGGGTTTCCAGACCCATGTGTACCACGCATGGGCTTTGAGCCCTTGTACTGCGACGATACTGTGAAACATGAGCAAGGTTCAATTTCTATATTTTAACGACATACTCTACTTCAGGGCCGGCTTTACCAACGTTCTCTGAAGACCAAAGGTTTAAGCCGTTTTTGCTAATTGTATCTTTTGTGCAGACGGTCTCCTGAGAGAACCCGGTTCAGCTTGTGCATATTATGCGACCGGGATGACTTGAAAAAACCCACCATTGTACTTGAAGAATTGCACCTTCCCCAATATTCTCGGTTCTATCGAAACGGCAGGAAGTGCTTGAAGTTCAAAGGAAAAATCTTTGTCGCTGCGTCGTGTCGTGGTGGAAGACACACAGATAGCCAGACCTGGGACATTGAACGGCAAGATGAGAGAACTGCACCGGTCATGACCATAAGCGGGGAGCAGGGGACTGTTATGTCCAACGCCATCAGGCTCCCTTTTACGAAATGGAAGGCCTTTGCATGGCTTGCCAAGGTCAAAGTATTGAGTGGCGCTTGTTCTTATAGATTATTGGTGACGAAACCGTAGCGCGCCAAATCCTGATGCACGTATGCAAGTAGCCATTGGTGGCCATATTCTGAGCTATGCGGTCAGCCAAAGGTCAGGTGAACACATGTAGACTCAAGCTGCCCAACCCATAATAAGCGCCCAACCTACGATAAGCGCTGCGTCGATCGAGTTGCCGGAAGCCTTGGGCTTTGGACGAATACCCGACCTCAATCTTATTTTCAGCTGCGGCTGAGCTCTGGGGATGTGCATATGACACTCCCGATTCAAGAGTTTCTTGCAGAAGAGTAAACACGTTGTGGCAGCCCCACTGTGGCTGAGCACAGCGTTGCAATGGCCCCTGCACTGTATGAGCAGACTAGACTTATTATTCGATAGTAGAACGGCCTCAAGATGTCAACTTCTTCAAAAATATGTTCACCTTCGGTTGCGACTTTGCCTAGAAATTTTGTGCTTACCGAAGCCATGAATCCTCCAAATGTAAGGCACTTGATTCGTTGTTATTTTGTGTCAGGCTCGTCTCTTCCTTGGCTGACTCATCACTGCTACGAAAGAGATTATTGCCACCCTTCTCTGTCGACTCCTGCCCTTTCTCAAGTGGACATCAGCTGCCGGATACATGTAACAATGAGCCAATCCTTCCAGCAACGTATCGCCGCCGAGCCGACGGCTCAATCCAAATCTGTCAAACTTGGAAGACCTTTTTGGACTCAGATATGAATATGGAACGATTAAATGCAGTACATCAGCATCTATGGTTTGCTGGGCTTCCTGTTTGCGCTCGCCCGCTGCATCGGCAACGGATAATGGAACGCCAGGTGGTCATCACCGAGCAAGCTGACCTGCATTTACTATGGCTGGAGTCGCGCATTTTTATCAAGCCTCTACCGGCTTACCTCTTGAACTACGATTTCTGGAAGACGAACATTTGTGACGATGTAGAATTGCATACCCGTGCATGCGGTTTTCTACTCTCATATGCCTGGCTTGTAAGTCATCCAAGCGACCTCGAAATGGCAATGGAGCTCGGTCTTCTTCCATGGAAGATCAGCTGGGTAAACTGGACCGCTTTTGTAAGGGAGTTCTTTCCAAAAGCTGGCCCAGAGGCTGTCAACAAACGTTACCACTACGGCGAACTACGACTGAACAGACTCAACATGATCTATCGTCTTACTCACCTGACCGATCTCAAGTTCCTACTCGATGGTTACATGACTGGTTATAATCGTTATAGCGTTTTTCTTTATCGCAACTTTTCGTGGATCTTTGGATTTTTCGCTTATATCACTATCGTCTTGACAGCAATGCAGGTGGGCCTGGGAACAAAACAGCTACAGAGCGGCAGTTTCGAGAGAGTTTCATACGGGTTCACTGTTTTCGTCATGCTTCTCTCCTTGCTCTTTCTTGTCGCAATCCCTTCTATACTACTTTTTCTTTTTCTATCGAACCTTGTGGTTACATGTCGGTTTCACAAAACGCGAAAGGGAGGGAGATCTGTCTGATACGGAGGATATTGCTTTCATCTGTGTACGTAGGTATGTGTATGTGAGTTCTTCGACAATAAAATCAAATCTATCTGTCAAACGTGAGTGAATGTCAAGCCCACGAACCTACGCTTTTGAACTTTGACGCGAAAAGTATTCTCCTGCCGAAAGAACAACAGAGATAGGCAGAATATCAATCGCGGTGCAGATAGCCGTTGGTCAATTCTCGCGCCGCCCCGCCTAGCGCCCGCGTCGGCGTTTGCCCTGCTGCTCCCTCACCACCCTGCCACCATCCGTGCCATCATACACGACACTACAAGCCAACTGCGCCTCTCCCAATTCCGCCCATCGCCATCCCCGCTCCTCCTCCAATACCATGGCGACCGAAGCGCTCCCCCCCGCAACCGCTCCCATGAGCAACGCGCAAGCCGTGCCGTATCTCCTCCAATTCATCGGGCGCAACCTCCGCATCCACGTCAGCGACCAGCGCATGTTCATCGGGCAGTTGAAGTGCACCGACAAGGTAAGAAGGCATCACAAGAAGCCATTCCGCAGCAGCACCCACCTTCAAAAGCATGCCGCTGACCCCGCCGCGTCACCAGGACCGCAACATCATCCTCGCGCTCACGCACGAATACCGCGCGCCCACGGACGCGGCCATCCGCGCTGCGATCGCGTCCTCCGGCGACCCTGCCGTGCAGCTGCCGCTCACGAGCCGGTACGTCGGCCTCGTCGTCATCCCCGGCCAGTACATCACGCGCATCGAGTTCGAGGAGAGCGCGTTCGCGCCCAATCCGGTCAGTCTTTGACAGACGATGCGGAAGCTCGGCGCGGTGCGGACGACGGTGGTTGTGGAGGCGGCTGAGGATGCCCAGTGCGCGGGATAGAGGCTGCATGCAGGCCTGTCGGGGCTTTGGAGAAGCCTTGGGTGCGAGACGCTTCCTGCCCGGTTCTCGCTCACGCTTCTTCTGGCTTTCTTTTCCCTACCACGAACTTTTCGACTTTCCGCCGCCGAGCTACCCGGCGTGGCGTCTTCGAGGTGGTGCGCCCAGATGATTTCCGGCTACCTAGGTACTCCGTCTCGGCACCTTAGTTTTCCTTCTACTACGTTCCAGACCCCATACGGCCACGAAACTCCGCAAAAAGCTATACAACAGCGTTCATCTCAACATAGGGATTGTTCTTAAATTTGGCTGTCTACCCAAATCCAAAACCCGTTATACAGACCCAACTGCGCGCTGGATACATAGGTTACCGCGTATTGCACATCGACAGGCCGCCCTCTAAGTCCCCACACACCCCGCGCAGCACCGCAGCACACAGCACCGCACGCCGCACGCCGCAAACCCGACCATCCCACGACCGGACTATAGGCTGCTGCCGCTTAGGAACCACACACACAGCTAGAAGGCCAGCCCTACCGTACCCATCACACCTCATGCCAACCTCCTGGCCGCAGGAAAGCGCGTCCTCCCAACCAGGCGTTCCTCGCCGCGGGTGCTGCTGCTGTGCTCTTGGCGTGGTGGCTTGGGGTTCTTGTCCTTGAAGAAGTTAACTCACTCGTGATGGAGAGGAGGTGCTCCGTGCTAGGCGACAGACAGGCCTGCCTTCATGAACGCCTTGCGGTGCGGCGCGACGCGACGCAACGTGATGTGTTGCTGGGAGCGGAGTGGAAGACTGAATAGATTGGGTGGGTGGGTGGTGAGGATGTAGATGATCGATTGGTTGATTGATTGATTGATCGATCAATTGATTAGATTACCGACGCGATGCTGCGGCCGGTGTGCCTTCCTATGCTGTAGGTAGGTAGGCAGGTAGGGAGGGGGCTCGTCCGAACAAAAGGAACTACGTATGTACGGAACAGAGGTCTGCTGTCTGCTCTGCTCTGCCTGTCTGCTCTGTCTGTGGTAGTTATGCACGCCATGCCATGCAAGCCGCTCAAGCCGCTCATATCGCCCCGCCACACCACACCACGCAACCCCCAGAAACAAGCAAAAAACGCCCTTACACCCTTACACCTAAACAAGCCACTCGGCAGCCTTGACGGCCTCCCCCTCCCCCACACCCTTCCCCACACCCCTCGCACCCCCCCTAACATCCCCCCACCCACGACACGGATCCGGCTTCTCGGTCCTCAGCACCCAGAACCCCCACTCCTCGAGCGGGCGCAACACCAACAGCACCCTGTTGAAGCGCCAGCCGATCGCCGGGATCGCCGCGCCCACCACCGCGTCTAGCACGAAGTGGTTCGCCGTCGCCAGCACGGTGAGCAGCATTGCTGCGGGCCAGAGGGGCGCGAGGAGGCGCAGCGGCCTATGCGGACTAAAGCGCACGAGACAGACGGCGAGGAAGAGCGAGGTGCCGAAGTGGAGGGACGGCATCGCCGCAATGGTGAGCTGGAACTTGTTCTGCGACCAGCTGGCGCCGGCATGGGCACTGTGCAGCACGTCGACGAAGGCGTACTGTTTCGGGAGCAAGCGCGGGGGGGCGCAACGCCAGGCGGAGAGGACGAGGAACGCGATTGCGTTGTCGAGCGCGAGGGTGCGGCGGATGCGCTGGTACGTAGGCGGTGCGAGGTACGTGTATGTGTAGATGAGGAAGAGCACCCCGATCAGGATGTGCGAGTAGTATATTTTGGCGAGCAGCGGCATCAGGCCCGGGAGGTGGTGCAGCACGTATTGCTGCAGGGGCAGCTCGATCGCGATGCCCATGCGCTGCTCGAGGGCGAGGAGGGAGAGGGCGTGGGCGCGGGCGAGGGCGAAGACGGCGTCGTTGTCCCGGATGAGGGTCGCGGTGAGGGCGCGCGCGAGTTGGTAGACCCTGTGTGCGAGGAAGCAAGCAATCGTCAGTACATCAGCCAGCCTGTGCTAAGTCCGGGGCCGCGTACCAGTACGTCAGGTTCCAGTACCAGATCTCGATGAGGAAGGGGAAGCGCGCGAGGAAGCGGGACGACAGGTTTCCGCGGAAGCGGGCCGTGTCCGGGCAGCGGCCTTTCGGGGGCGGGGAGGGCGACGCGGACGGCGAGGGCGAGACGGAGCGCACCGTGGTGGAGAGCAAGGGCGCGCGGGAGGCGGGGTCGTCGTCTTCGCGGGGGAAGCAGCCGCGGCGGCGATTGAGGAGGGTGCCGGCGGTGAAGGCTAGAGCGATGCCTGGGAAGTGTTAGTTTGGGATGCGTGTGGTGTTGTTGTTGTTGTTATGGTTGTGGTTGTTGCTGGGGTAGACGTACCGCCTGGCTCGAGGACCAGCTTGAATGCGCCCATGGTGGGAGGGGGGAGTGGTCGCGTGCGTGCGGGTTCCTGGATAAAGAGTCGCACGAGCACGCGCTGAGAGGCTGAGAGAGAGTGTGTGTCGACGAGAGCTGTAGACAGAAAAAATGAAAGAAATGAAGGAAGGAAGAAGAAAAAAGAAGGACAGCAGCTGATTAGGCAAAGCAGGTAATGCGCGGCGCGAGGAGGGTGAGGTGAGGCTGAAGGTGAAAGCGCAGTAAGTATGGAAGTAAGTAGGCAAGCAGGCAAGCAGGCAGAACACAGCCCTCGAGCAAGTCAGCCATCATTCATCATCGTGCAGGGCACACGCGACCAATTGTGACAGGTCTGCCGGCTGTCCGCTCACTCTTTACCTAAGCCTACAGCATCGCTCCAATGCCCGCGCGCCACGGGTCGCACAGCATCCCGCCGCATGGAAGACACTGCCACCGCCGGCCCTGGTGATTGCACCGGTCCCGCGTGCTCGTGCTTCGGCCATGTCTTGCTTTTTGGTAGGGAGACAGACACGGCGCAATCGTCAAGCCTTCCGCGCCGGCCCGGCCGTCAATGCCCCTGGTGCACATATGTATCTGGCCGCACAGTAAGCATGCAAGGGCGGGCGCAGGGGCTGCGTAAAGGCGTACGTACGCCCGTCTCCAACGGCCGGGCATGAGGCCAGCATGGCGCGATGAGAGTCAATGCGGAGAGTCGATATTTGTTGTGAAAGTGTTTTGTCTGTCTCTGCGCGGAAGCCGGCACGTCGTGGTCCGCTCCTTCCCGGGCACGCCGGTCTCCACTCTCGCGCTCCCAGACCACCTTCCTTTCTTGGCGCTGCTCGGAACGGATGTCCATCACATGCGCGCGTGTTTGTCCTCTGCCTACTGCGTACATGCCTGACTAGTAGTAAGCACATCGAGACTAGCTCTGCGACCAGTAACTTCAACGGGCAGGCTTTAACTTCAGCCCATCCCCCCCACGCCGCCAAAATCTCACTCACCCAGCCCCAACAAAGCGCTGCGTCTTCCACGCCCGACCACGCCCGACACCGTATCCCAGCCCTTTGCATCTAGACCCTCTTCAATCCTCTCTCGGTCGCCAAACAGACAAAGAACAAAGAAAGAAAAAGAACAACGCCACACGCCCATCTCAATCTCCCCGCATTCCCTTGTCCACTTTGCACTCAAACAACAAAACATCAAGCACCAAGCCCGCGCCCAGCACCGCCACAAAGCTTACATGTCCCGCCCGAGCGAGCCGCAGCTGTGGTGTGGTGTGTGGTGGTGGTGTGCGACGCCGCGCCAACAGCACAAACACAACAAGCACAATAGAACGCCAACCAACCAACAAAAAGAACAAACAAACAGATGAATGCTTTGCAAAAGAACGGCAATACAATGCCTTACTCTAACCTCTAGCCTCCAACAATGAAACAAGCTAGGTCCATCAGTCTAGGCCACCACTGCATGCTGGGCATGCTTTTGTTTCTGTGAGAATTAAATGTGCGCTTTATCCGACTCAAACCAAAGAACAAAGCGTGATTGAACAAGCGCTTTCTCATTCATACCTACCCACCATACCACCAACACCACCGCCGCAGTCTTTGAGCCCTTGTCCTCGCTTTATGCCTCCCCCTCCCCACACCCCATTATTCTCATATTCAATCCAGGCCGAGTGGAAGATATAACACCCTCTCCCCTCCCTCCGATATCTTTTTCCTCTTCCTCGCTCACCAGCACAAGCACACAAGCGCACACATTCATTACCCACACTCATTTACCACACCACAAAACCACAAAACCCAAAACTCAACCACAAGCAAAAACGCAAGCAAAATGCAATTCACCACCACCACCGCGGCAGCACATCTCCCCCCCGTAAACGCCTTGGTCCGCAAAGGCCACGGCAGCAACAGCAGGGTCACGACGAATCACTCGGATATGAAGGGCGTGGGCTGCGCTGTCATGTAGGTAGGTAGGTACCGTACCTTGGTATGCAGATAAGCGAGACGGAAGACTTCTGCTCCACTTCTGTGCGTGTTGGTTTGACTTGACTTGACTTGATTTGTGCGCGCGTGAGAGAGAGAGAGAGAGAGAGTTGATATTGAGCCTAAAAACGCGCGTGGGGGTATATTTGAGGCTGACGTGAACGCCTGCTCTGCTCTGCACTGCCACTACCCGGATACGTATGTATGCGTGCGTGCGTGCATGCTTATTACATACCTATGCATATAAACATGCATGCATATCAAGACTAAGACTTACGTGAGGCTCCGCTCCGCTCCGTCGCTTCACCTCTCCCTGTCTTCCTGCCTTCCTTTTCATCCACTACCCACTACCCCCTACACACTACGCACTACGCGCTCCGCCCTTCTCTCACCCCTCTCACCCTTCCAACCCCCCCGCCCAAGCCCCCACAACGCGCACCAACTGGACCAACACGCCCCTCTCGATCCAGAAGTGTCCTGCGCCCTTGATGAGCTTGCCTTCCAACCCTTCCCTCCCCCAATCACCCTCCCCAACCCTTCCTTCTCCTTCCCCACCCTTACTTCCCCCCGCCGCCCTCAACGCCCCAACCCAGCCCGCCAGCCTCTCCGCCGACGTAAACACGTCCCGGTCGCCGTAGACCGCGAGGCCCGGCGTGCCGAGCAGGGCCGGGGAGTCTGTGGGGCGGAAGCGCGGGAAGCCGGGTGCGATGGCGAGGGAGGTTGGGGGGAGGAGGGGCGAGAGGAGGAGGAAAGCTGTGGTGATGTTGATGTGTGGGAGGGTGGTGGTGAGGGGTGTTGTTGTTGTTGTTGTTGTTGTTGTGGTAGGAGACGAAGGGTGTTTCCCCAGCGAATACCGGCGCAGACGCCGCCCCACTGCGTTTTTGAGGTCTAAGCTGCGGGGCCGGCTGCCGCTCCCGCTTTTGCGGCTTGGGCGCGAGGCCGCCGTCTTGCTTCCCTCCGCTGTGGCGTTTGCGTTTGCGCCTGCGTACGCATCTGCATCTCCGCCCACGACAACAGCCCCTAAGCCGCGCTTCCGCACCACGACCTCTTCACAACCACGCAGCAGCTCAGCCGTCGTCCGTGCCGCGAGGTCGCGCGCGCGCGTCACGATCGCCGCGGCGGGGGAGGCGGGGGCAGGCGCGAGGAAGGGGGCGAGGAGCGCGCTTGGCGGGGAGGGGAGGCGGGAAGCGATGAGGGAGCCGTAGGAGTAGCCGCCGAGGATGAGGCGGATGGGCGCGTTTTCTGCTGCTGCTTCTTCTGGTGGTGCGGGTGCTGCGCCTTCTGCTGTTCTTGGAGAAGCGAGGGTGGTTGGGCTGGTGGGCGCGCGCACAAAGTCCATGTACAGCGCCACTAGGCCCGCGAAGGAAACATAGTCTGCGAGCTCTGGCTTGCCGGTCCAGCTGGTGCGGCCGGGAGAGGTGGAGGCGCCTCTGGGGGTTATGTTATGTCAGCACCACGTCTAACCGTTCCATTCAACACAACCCGCAACCACAACTACCCATCTCCTCAACCCCACATCCCAGCTCTTTTCCATACACTACCGCACAAAACTAAAAACAAAACCAGAAAAACTTACCTAAAATTAAAAACACCAACGACCCACCCTCCTGCCAGCAACCCGCTCCCCACAGCCCCAACAACAGGGTCATCGCAGCACCCACCCAGTGGCGCGTACGGGTGCGCCAGAACCGCTGCTTTGTGCTGCCAGGGCTCTGTTACGTTCGAGGCAGAGCTCGGGTTAGATCTCGAGGCAGAGTACAAGTTAGAGCTCAGCCCAGGGACGTAGATCCGACAGTCCAGCAACGTGCCATCATGCAGTGACGGGATCGTGAAGACGAAGGTCGGGTCCGGCAGGCTTGGCATCGTGTGCTGTGTGCTGTGGGGTGGTTATGTGCCGTGCCGTACTGAGCTTGACTGTGCCGTGCCGCGCTGGGCTGAGCTGTGCTGTGCGGCTCTGCAGCTGTGTGTGCTGTGCTGTGTTGTTGTTGGGCGTAGTACAGTAGGAAAGGCAGGGTAAGGTATTAACAAAGGCTCTCGCTGAGAGCCGAGCCAAAGGCGCCCTCACGGCATGCTTTCGTCGCGGCGCTGTGACGTGGTGTGCGTGAAAACGGAGTTTGGAATTTGGAGTTTGTTCGTCGCCGCCGCCGCCGCCGTCGTCGTGGTCGTCGATGGACGTCGTTGCTCCGATGGAGGGCCGTGCAGCGGGAGCGAGCGGGACAGCGTGCCGAAAAAGTCCGTGCGGGGCCCGCCGGGTCGTGGAGTGGGGCTGTGGACATCATACTGTACGTGGAGTAGCCTACAACACTACACCCAAAGCACAGCTGTGGGAGCAAGAAGCATATTACTTGTGAGCTAGTACACAATGTACAAAAGCCAATTCATATCAACACACCATATCCCTCGCCAGACAACTCCCACGCCCACCCCTCCACCTACACCGCCCTAAAACACCACCACATACGACACCAAAGCAGCTAAGCAGCACACAATGATACATAGCACGCAACCATACACAGCACACTAACCACATACGCATACACAAAGAACCGCCCTTCGCTCAAATCCCCACCAAATCTCAACTCATACATACACGCGTACAGAAACTAGCCTAGTTACTGCAATTACCCGCTTATCTTTTCATTCGCCGCTGCTCACCTCCAAGCCCACCACTACCTCTCCCCACCTCATCTCATGGATATCCCTACATAGTCCCTCTGCCCACTCACAGCTACCAGCAAAAAAAGGAAACGCGTCCTGTAAAACAAAACAAAGGAAAGCAAAGAAACCACAACGATAATAAAGCTCCTAGCAAAATGACATGCTCCCCACCATCCCCGTGCTCATCGCAGTCCCACACGATACTTAGTCGGTTGCCCCTAAAACTCCATATAACACCCCCTTCCCTTCCCTTCTCGTCCGAATCCCCCCGTTCCTTAAACGTTGAAGTAGGCTGAGACGCTCCTTGAATCAAAGAAACGGAAAAAACAACAATAAAGAAAAACACACCGCAAAACGTTCCCTAATGTCTGCTGCTCCACTGCTTTACTTCTGAAACCTCACTATTTTCACCACACTCACACACCCATTACGACATACCCGCCGATGGTGGAGGCGGAGGCGGTGGTCCCCCCACATCACCCCCCTCAATGCTCCTCACAAGCGTAGGCTGGATCCGCCGTCTCTTCGGCTCAGGCTGTTTGGCTCCATCCGCGCCCTCTTCACCCTCCCGCTTCTTGCTGTCTTTCTCCTTCTCCGCCTCGCTCTCGCTTTCCCTCCGCGCGCCCGGTGCCGCTCCGTTGACGCTGCTCGCCGCGCTCTGGTTGCCCGGCATCGGCGTGTGCGGAGGTGTCCACATCGGAACCGCACTGTTCGCTGCGGCCACGCTGGGCACGGCACTGACGGTCGGGATTTGGTTGTTGAGCGGAACAGTAGGGTCGGGGCCTGGGGCGAAGGATGATGCGATCGACGACGTGGACATGGAGCGTGCGGGACTGGCTGGGCGGACTGGACCGGGAGCCGGGGCGAAGGATGATGGAGATGCCGGGAACGTGTTGTTGCTTCCAGTGCCGTTATTTGACTCCTTGTTCGAAGAGGTAGAGGACTGCCTGGCATGCGTGGGCATGGTAGCTTGAGTGGGAGTTGGAGTAGGTGTGGACTGGGTCGACGGCGTGGTGGTTGTGTTGATGCTGGTAGGTTGTTGCTTTGGGGGGGCAGGGCCAGGATGAACCTGGCCAAGTTCGCCCGCTGCAAAGGTCAAGCAAGAACAGAAGCCATCCGAAGAAGTCATAAGGAGAGTGAGACCGTCATTGGACCTATATGAGATCAGTGAATTATCCTTCTCTGAAAACACACTGTTACTTACCAAGCAAGATCAGTAAATGTAGCAAAGTGCAGATTGCTCACAATGCACAGTGGCTTCTGTTGCTGCGTGTCATAGATGTGAACAGCGTCTTGAGTAGCAACAGCATACACCATGCGATACGGGAGATTAAAGGCAACAGGGGGACCAGACGGGAAAGGTGATGCCGATCTTCTACTTTCCGAGTCCGGCCTGGGCGAAGCTGCACTCTGCGAAGGCGACGGAGCACTTGTAATTGGAGGCGGGTCCATGGAAGAATTTGATGGGGGCATCTTGGACTGCATTACCGGCTCCGGTAAAGCGAGAATCTCGTCTTCCGCTGACGCCGTGTCGATGGTAATCTGTTTTGTGACAGGCGCTGTCTGGCGGAGGGTGTAATACACTGGAGCACATCTCACTGCGACGGACGGTTTCTTGTGGCCGGGCAGATACGCAATCGGAGGCTTGTTAAGGCCGGCCCGCGTGTAGATGTAGACCGTGTTGATAATGTCGTCCGCGCTCCTCGCCGCGTCTGATGTCACGGGATGCGATGTCTTGTATTGACCCGCAGGCGTGAAGAGCAAACTGCCGTCCGGAGCAAACGTAAGACGTCTGAAGAACGACGTCAACGTCTCGTTCGCGTAAATGTTGGTATTTCGCGCGCCAAGAGCAGACATGTGAGGGGATGTTGAAGGCATTACGGCTGGCAGAGGCATGGAAGAGGGCGCCGGAGACACGGATCGGCGCATAGATGGCGATGACCCAAAAGACGACCGGCGGCTGTGAGTAGTAGGTGGGTTCATTGGAAGAGCCAGCGAAGCAGGAGTCCCAGGCGCAGAAGGACCAGGAGAGCCTGAGCCCACCGCCGGACTATCTCCCACGAAAGATGCTCGATTTGACAGATCTGGGGGCGCGGGGCTGCTGGAGGATATCCTGCGAGCTGGCAGATCCATCTTTGTGACCTTGCTGTGTTGAGCCAGAGAGAATTGCCCATCCTTGGTCTTGAGAGTGTAGATGTGTACGGAGCGGTCGGAGGACTGCGTCGCGACGAATTCGTTGAGCGGATCCCAGGCAACGCCTTGTACGTAGTGGCTGTGTTCGGCAATCTGCCGTACTATCTGACCTACATGTCCGTTAGTCTTCTGTCTTGAGCTAGAAGCCGCATACATACCCGTCTGAGCATTGTATATGCGCGCAATGTTGTCCATGCTGCCGGTTATGAAAAAGGCACCGTCGGGCGACCAGGCCATGTCGTAGATTTCGGAGCCCAGCGAGCGGCACATGTGCTTGACACGCCATGTCTCCTTATCCTCCAATCCCTCCTCGCCGAATGTGCCGTGCGTCTGCGTCTCCGAAGGAACCCAAAGTAAGACATTTCCGTCGTCGCCGGCGCTGCCGAGAAGCTCGCCTACAAATTATTGGTTAGCGGAAAGCTGAGACAGGAACGGGGAAGCTGGAGGGATGATGGCGTACCTCTGGGGCACCATCTGACAACGTTGACGGCCTGGGTGTGTTTTACGAGGGTCGAGAGGTAGACGACCTTTCTGTCCTCGCCGGCGCCTTCGATCTTCCAGAGCTGCGTCGCGGGTCAGCGGTGGGTTTGGAGCTCTGGGCGGGCAGACCAAAGCTTACTCTGACATTGTTGTCGCCGCCTGCAGTCGCCAGGCGGCCCTTTCCGTGCGGCTCAAAGTGGGCAGAGTAGATGGCGGCGTTGTCGTTGTGCCAGGACACGAGCAATGGAGCTGCCTTCATGGTGGCCGTAGGGGTAGGCCGAAGTCGCGGAGGAGATGGAGCAGAAGAGAGAGTCACTCCGGGGCCGGGGCCAATCGAGGAGTGAAGTAGCGGGCGGTAGCTTCGTGCCGGGCGGAAAGCAAGGAGGTGGCGGGCTTGGTGGTGCGGAGTAGCAGTTAGTGTTTGGGGTGATGGTCAAGTGCTCGCTCGCTCCAGCTACGCGATGTCCGTCCAAGGTGCCGGCAATTGTCGTTCGAGCACGTCGCCCAGAGCAGTGTGACACGGCGCCCGAAACACACCGTCTCCCGTGGCACTAGAGACGTGGGTCGGTAGAAGAGCTGAGAGTCGCAGCGAGCGGGTGCACCACACCTTCACCTTCGATCGTGATCGCGTTTCGCGTTGCGCCGCTAAGCCGTTTCGGGCAACATGATTGTGCTCCACTCCCGCCAGCACCGTGATCACCTGCGATCGATGGTTCACCATCCACCGGGGCCAAGCCCGATCCACGGATTTGCTGGCCCCCTCCACCCCCGACTGGCTCGCTCGCTCGACGAAGAGTAATCCTTGTGTAGCTAGCTACCTACTCGACAAAACGTCCGTCACCGTCAACCAAGATTCACATTCTAGCAAGACAAGGAACGATACAAGCAATCCCTACAAACCACTCCTTGTCTAGCTACATGCCTTGGTCCTGGATATGAGCAAGGGGATCTTTGAATATATGCGCCCGTGACATAACATCTCTCACCGTCCACAGCTTAGCGAGATGGATAAGGATATAAGCAGTCCCTATAGAACACTCCCTATCTACCTACAAACCTAAATCTTGGATATGAGTAAATAGGTCTTAGAGCTCATATATACTAACACCACCCTACTTGAATTTCTTCTTCTACTCTGTACAAGCATGATCGCCTTGTAAGACGATGAATCTCGCTTGACGGTGACGGTCGTTACTCATTACATACACCAATCAGTCGCGGCCGATCCCTCTCCAAAGCAATAAACTTCTCACGCCACTCAAACCTCAATCTCCGCCGGTCCCGTCAAGGCCACGGACACGCTCGTCGCAAGCTTCTGTGCCTTGACCGACGAATTGCCCAACACCTGAACCTTCTCTACAACCACACCAACGTCGTAATCAAAGGTTCCGTCAAGCGTCAGCTTACCCCCGTCGTACGTAAACTCGATCTCCGACGTGGCCGGCTGTTCAATGAGGTCGCCCTCGTCGATGTACAGGCTACCGCTCGCCTTGCCCTCCGCGTCTGGCGCGATGACGAGCGTGAAGTTTTGCTTGCGCAACTCAGTCGTCGTGTTCGCCGACGCTGACCGGAGGGGAATGATGCTACCACCCTTGATGTGCAGCGGGATGCTCGTGAAAGGCACGTCCGGCAAATTCACGAACGAGCCCTTGCCCTGAACCACTTCGCCGGTATGGAAATCATAGAAGATATCGTTCGGGAGGTATATGTCGACACTTGTGGAATTCTCCTCGGTTACCGGTGACACAAGGATGGAGTCACCGTAAAAGTACTGCAAGTCGATAGGGAATGTGTTGGCATCGTTCGGGTACAAGAAGAACAGCGGGTTTATGAGTGGGTTACCCGTCTTGGTCTGCCTGTAAAGAGCAGTGTACAGGTAATCAAGTAACCTGTAGCGGATGTCGATGGCGTTCTTGGCAGCCTCTGTGACAAGCGGCCAACGGTAGAATTCTTGTGGAATAGATTCATCCCCGTTATGATTTCGATAAAATGGAGAAAATGCACCAAGAGTTGCCCAGCGTGCACAAAGTTTTTCTGTGGTATTTCCTCCGAAACCACAGACATCAGATCCCGTTAGAGGGACTTGGAAGATGGCCGTGAACTGCAGCAATTGTGCTATTGTAATCCTACCAACAATCAGCTGCAAGTTTAGTCTTTAGTGAGAAGGGAGGAGGAAAAAAAAAAAAAAAAAACAGAGTAGAGTAATATATAAGTAATAGCTCACCTATAATGTTCCCATGTCGAGACATTGTCGCCCAGCCAGTGACCCACGACTGCACCAGCGCCTGCGAATGTGCTCCGCGTAATTATCAGTGGCCTTCTTCCAGGACGCCTATTAACCATGGCTTTCATGCTGGCAGTAGACATCATCGTGCCGTAAAGGTTGTGCGTATCATATTCAGCAAGCCCATTGTAATGAATCACATCACTAGCAATAGTCCTGTTGGACAATGAGCCGATAAGGTTGTCGATCTTGTATGGAGGGTCCACTAGGTCACGGTCTGGAAGACCGAGTTTCGAGCCAGTCGTCTGCCGCTTGAACATCCGGTGCTGTGCGGTCCCTGAAGGCTGGAAGTCGTCGGGGAAGCCTGGTATGACTCTGCCACTGTTCTCGCGCACAGGTGGAGGAGGTGGTGGGTCGCCATCGGCTGCGGCAAAGCCGTACGGATCTGAACAAGGCCAGTAGCAAAAGTTCGAAGCCTCATTCATATCAATCCAGAGGCCGTCTATGTCCACTCCAGTATCGGCACTGAAAAACTTTACAAATTCATCGTTCCAGTAGCTCTGCGTGCTTGGGTGGAACCAATCGGGGTATACTGTGGGGCCGGGCCAGACCACCCCGACGAAGTCCGAACCATTCGAGGTCTTTAGGAAGACATCCAATGCTGCTCCGTTATCATAGGCGGTATTGTTTTTGTAAGCAGTGGCCGGATCAATCATCACGATGTATTTCTGCTGGTGTGCATGGAGGTAGTCGACCATTTCCCGCATTTTGTCAAGGGGAAACCTTGCCGGGTCCAGCGTAAAAACTTTACGAAGGTCCATATAGTCGATATCAGTCCAGGCAGTTTCGAGAGGAATTCCGGCAGCAGAATAATTTGCTATTGACTCAGCAACGTCATACACATCCCTGTAGCCATAGCGGCAATTGTGGAATCCAAGAGTCCAGTAGCTCTGCATGGCTGGAAGTCCAACAATATCAGAGTATTGTGCACTGACCTCCTTTGGCGATGGCCCAGCGAGGAAGTACAGGTCGATGATACCACCTAGAGTATTGTATTCTAAGTACTGACCATCTGCTTCTGTCTTGTTGACCTTGAATTCTATGCCGTTTGAGTTAAGGAGGAAGACTCCATGGGTACCGGTTTCTCTGTGTTCGAAATAAACTGGATGGTTTCCGTATAGATTGGTCCCGGGTGGAATGCCATAAGAATCTCTACTCCACAGCGTGCGTGTGTAGTTGGTGGTGTTGAGGTGGAAAGGGTCGCTGTGTTCGCCAAAGCCATAGAGATGTGGTGATTCCGGCAGCTGAGACCGGAGACGAAGATATTGCGATTCGAAGATCAGAGGAGAACCAGCCGTGTCAAACAGAGTCTCATTGGTTGATTTGCGGACCACGGAGAAAGAGAAAGGACTCTCTACGATTTTGAACTGAATTGCCGCGGCTGAAGCTGGGACCGATGCATTTTTGGCTGGTCGCGGTAAGACAGATTCCGGAACTTGATAGACATTCTCCTCGGCATCATAAATTTGAATGTGTAGGCGAGTGGCTATTTGATATGTAAGTGAATGTTTCATAGGATGCCACCATACGCTTCATGACGCAGAGAGAGATTACTACGCTACGGAATCATAAACAGAAGTCTCCAGTTTCAGTTTGTTTCACTGGGTCTAATGTACTAAACAAAAATATGTACATACCGCTTTGGTATTCCACTTGGAGCTTGAGATCCGTGAGATCCGTTCCATACGTATTGCATGCAGAACCAGCGAGCTTCAAATCAGCAGTAAAGGCTGACCCCGTGTCGACGATATTCGAAGCTGTATAGCCTGGACAATTTTCAATCGGTGCTGAATCCTGACGGACCGCAACGGTGCTGGCAAAGCTCGCCGCGACGAACGACGTCACAGCCAACAGTCGGCGTTGCATCGTGCGGGGTGATAGTGAAACGAATGCCAACCAAACGCTACTCCATCATCTCGACGCCTGAACCAGCTCTATTTATACAGCATTCAAACACACGAGGATCGACGGTCTTCAACAGGCGCAGTTGCACGCAGCCTTGTTTTGACGGCCCGGCAGACGGGTTGAGCCGCGGCTCCATGCCAGTTCCCCGCACACGTCTCGTCAGACTGCGGAGAAACTGCTCTTGGCTGCGCGCAAGTGGAAACACATCCCAGAGGTCAGACTCAAAGTTATTGCGCTAACGCGCGATGACGGGCTGATCGTTGAGGCTCGGCGAGACGAAGGCGTGATAGGAAGGTCGACGAATTCCAAAGACCAGCTTCCGCCTCGACACCAGCGGCTCCCGCGGGTTTCTTCACCGGGCCGAGTCGCTGCGGCCTTTATTGAGGCCGCCATTGAGCCCAATCCCCGCGAGAACGGCTGCCAGGGTGGTGCCTTTGAATATCGTCTCATATTGCTCGGACTTGATGCTGGCGTGGAATGGCTGCCCATGTACGCGCATGAACAGTGCTCCTGTGACAAGCACATAGATGCCTACAACGATGTGGTATCGGTACGGTGACAGTGCTTTCACAGGCTCGAAGCTATCAGACACCATGGTATCCAGCAGTATCTGAGCTGAGAAAGATGCCTAGGTTACAGGGATGGCCGGTGGTAGACATCGATGACGATATGCATCGCGGAAGATCCTCGGGGCCTCTTCGACCTCACCTCATCTCAGCCTGGCGGAGAGTGGCACAGCAACTCCACCGCAGCCTTCCCCGACTATCAGCGCATGCTCCGCGGAGGGCGTCGAACGACGTTTCCCCGGAGAGCGGCCTGCTTTCCTTTCGAGCTTATAGCGATCGAGCATTAATGGCCCCAGGATTCTGGCCCTGAAAGTCTGGTCATGGGTGCATCCGCCCGTGCCGGCCCTAGCCACGAATGGCTCTTGGCCGGCCATGCTGACTGCCTCCGACCGGCTGCAGGCCGATCCATCTATAGCTACCTTCAATATCGTTTTCTGCACCTGGCCGATCTAGAGCCCTGGAGGCAATACTCATTGTGGTACTAAACTCAACTCCACATGTTTATGCTTGGATAATCATGTGAAGCTGCTCCCACAAGTATCTCGCTACAGCATCCATCAAAGAAAATGATTCATCTGCTCTGCTTAGTAGTACAACATCGTATATACCCGGACTTTTCCCATCCCACAGCTCAAAGCTACTGGATCCATGAATCTACAACGTCTTTCAGTGCCGATACTGAAGTGAATGTAAACAGATGCTGGATCGACAGAATTTGTCTTCCAACTTCTGTTATTGGCCGCATTCTGATTCGTATGGTTCGTACAAGCTGAAGCAAAAGCACTCTTCCCCATCTCGTCTTTCTATGCCATGAACCTGTCCAGCTCAATCGAGAATTTCTGTGAAGCGTGCCTTGAGATCGAACGTCTCCTTAAATCTCGACTTGAAACGATGAGTGCCCTTGTGAGTGTTTTCGTCGCCTTCATCTCCATCTTCCTTGCCATTCGATTCCAGGACACTCCTTGTCTCTGATTGCTCTTCGTCTTCCATTTGCAGAGCATGCATCATCTCGGCGAATTCTAGAATATTTACGTCGCCGCTTCTAGTCGTAGAGATGTGAGGAATGATAGGTGCAGACTCCTCGATCCCACCGCCCCAAACAAGGTGCACACGCGCAGCAAGGTAGTTGTTCAACGTAAAACCAGCGTCGATGCAGCCGTCGTAAAGCTCCAGGCACTCAAGCTTCTCAAAGTACTGCCTGAAAGGCATGTCGTCAACAACGAAGCCACAAAGTCGAAGAGTAAGTATCGGAAGGTTGCCGAGGCTGTGGGAGACATTTTGCGCAACCGTGACACGCGCCTTACGAATGGTGAGCGCGTCAAGGTACTCGCCATTGCCGAAGGATGAGTCTAAGGGCCCTGCACCATCCTGTCCACTAATGGTAGTCAGCTCGAAGGTAAAATTTCAGGTTGCACATATCCTACTTACCGATATCCGTTATTAGTAAAATCGTCGTTCGGGTACCAGTCTTTGCTGACAACAGTCCAGGCTTTTCCATTTACACCCTTAGCAGTGGGGTTTTCGGCCATACCCAGCTCCAGCTCTTCAAGTTTGCTGTTCAACCAAACGACTTCCCAGATGAGAGGTTGAAACGAGATTTTCATGCCGACGATGCGCAGGTCACGTAACTCTCGGAATTCGCAGAGTGGCTGGAGGTCTTCCATAGTAAGTTGTTCAGAGTGATGCTTGGCAGTGGTATTACCGCTGGAGACGTTGAGGTTGATGTCAAGAGTTTCAATGCCGCGAGGTAGGTGGAACAACAGGCTCTTGTGGAACGGGAGTTCTGAAGCCCAGCTGTGTTGATCAATTTGTTCCTGAAAGGGGATAACAGGACTTACGTGAAGGACTTCAGGTTGTTGCCAATGAGGTCGATTATTGCAACGACGTAGCGGATGCCGATCGAACGCTCATAGATACGCGCCGCCCTGCGCTGTGATCCGAAGCTCTTGTTGCGGACAATTCCCATGATGCGCTTTCCGGGAGAGAGGTATGGCGGCGGTTTGCGGTTATTCTGTGCAGCCGCCGCGCGCTCATTCGTGTTCTTCTCCCATGCATCACGACTAAGGAGTGCGCCGTAGTGCGTTTGGATTTCACTGATCTTCTTGTCATCAAAGACCCATGAGCCGGTGATGATGAGGTGGGTTGTCTTGTTGAGGACTCCACCGGCGAGAAGGTTCTTGAATGTCTTAGTGAGGTTGTGGACAGAACTCTGTGAGGTCTCATCGTCGTCGCTTGTCGAGGGGTACGTGAAGAGGACCAGCTGGCCTTCTCCATTTTCGTTCTGCTTCGTGAAGACGGCAGCCATCTTTCTTAACTGCGTGGGATGAGAGAAAAGGAAGGTTAGTGGGCAGGCGCCAGTATTTTGTTGGTGACACGTGTGACTTGCGCTTCAAAAGGGTTAGGTTGAAGTGAAAGTTGTTAACGGCGGTCACGTCCGTGTCGCGTCCGTCTCGCGGTGTGTTAGTCTTCAGCCACCCAGCGACGGCCATTACTAGCAGACAGGAGTCTCGCACGAAGACAATTCTTACCACGTCACTTCTAAACTCTACAGAGCCGACCCACACGGAAATTCTCAGTTAAACCCATAGCCAATCCATGTTAGGAGACAATGTTCATTTTCATAGCATAAGCCAAACCTTCACTGAATATGCTCAATTGCATAACGAGTCATAATGTACATCACCTGCCTTAGAAGCACCTATCATTGCCAATATCTATCCTCACGACCATAGCCGTGCACCGTCCCATCCATCCATTCGTCCACCGCCGCGCGCATCGCTCGTTGCCGCACATGACGCCAGCCAGTCTTGAATGCCTGGAAAGAAGCAAATTATGCCCAAACCCTAACGTACTAATCCATTGCACGAAGCTGAGCTCAATAACCTGATGTACAAAAAACGACTAACTCCGTCTTTACTCCTCGTCGTTGCCTTCCGAGTAGTAGTCGAAGTCTCGCGGTGGCTGTGCATCCTCACCATCATCATCTTCATCAACAGCGGTCAAAACGCCAGCAGCCTCGGCGGCGCCACCTTGCTCGCCTTGTGCAGCGTACTCATCGACAGCGGCATAAGCGTCATTGACACGGTCGGCCAGGGTGTGACCGGGAGCGCCAGGAGCGGGAGTGGTGGTCGCCTTCTTGACCTTCAGCTCAAGCAAAGATTTCGGTTCCGAAGGAGTGGTGTCGTGGACAAGGATGACACCTCCGGTAGGCTGTTCCAAATTAGTCTTTGTTACTCTGAAATATGGACAAACAGAACAAACCTTCTTGACTGGCACATAGCGCTCGCCAGGGAAGCTGATGTACTTGAGCTGTGCCGGGAGAACTCTCGACATGTTCTCAAGGTCATAGCCGACCTTCTCCTTCTCCACTCTCTTCTTGGCGCCCTCAGCGGAAGGCGTGCTCTCCTTCTCGCCGTCCGTCTTCTCTCCCTTCTCCTCCTTCGCCTTCTGGTCATCATCGGTGTCCATCTTGTCATCATCGGCACCCGAAACCTTGGGCGTGGCAGGAGTTTGGTCAATATCCATGCTCTCACGACGCTGTTGCCTCTCCTTGACCATCTTGCGGCGCTTGGCCTGCGCCGTGGTTGACAATACGGCGGTCTTGACCTTCTCAGGAGCTTCCTCGGTCTTGACCTCGACTTCAGGGGGGTAGTCGAACATGCTTGGCCGGGTGGCGCTGTGGAACTTGAAGCTCGGGATCTCAAGATCTTGATCCACACCGATGACAGCGGTCGGCGTGAAACTGAGGGACAAGAAGTGGGTAAGAGGGAACCAGTACCAGTACTGAGTGAAGACAGCCATGCCGACAATAGCAGTCATGTTGAGGTTACCGGTCTGAGTCTGCAGGCCAATGGTGCAGTTACGACCGCCGGCGTCGATGATGCCAAGAGCAAGTGCGCAGCCAAACTTGGCCATCGCATCCTCGTGACGATCACCAACAATCTTCTGCAGGGTCTTGCGGATAGTGGCAACCTTGGGGTTCATGGCCTCGTTCTGCTGGACCATGATCATGGACAGCGAGATAAGAGCACCCTGGCGGACAAAATCGGTGGAGTCCTTCATCATCGGCTCCAGCAGATCAATAGCTTCGTCGAGTCCGGTGCCGGCACAGGCGATACCCAGAGCCATAGTGGCGCCGTACCGAACGTGGGGGTTGTAGGACTCGGCAAGCAGCTCGACCATGCGGGGGACGCTGCCCGGCTTGCGGAACAGGACGAAGCCCAAACTCATCACGGCCACTCTCCGGACATCATCACTGACATCACTGACAGCAACGTGCAACAGCTTACGAACGGCCTTGTTGCTGCTCGTGCCGCAATAGGCCAGAGCAATGGTCATGATACCACCGTATCTGAGCGTCGGATCAGGATCCTCCAACAAGCCGTTGATGAGTTCATCGGCCGCTTCTTGGCGGGCAAACATGATAAGCGCCATACCCATAGCCAGACCACGAACGATCTTCTCGTGCTGAGTGTCATGAGCGTATTGGATCATGTCTTCGAGAGCCTTGATGTTTCCGGTGCCCAACATGACCAGACCCATCGAGAGACCGACAGCCTCGCCGTTGATGGCCGAGTCGGTGTAGAGGACAGTCTTGAGCGATTCGTAGATGTCGTCGTTACCGGTAGCCATACCAGCAACACCCAGACCTAGCGCACCACCGTGCTGAACAACTTCCTCAGTTGCCCTCTTGAACTGGTTAGAAAGGTATTCCAAGACATCGGTCCCATGGTTGCTGTAGATCAGGCCAAGGGCATAAAGCGAACCACCCTGGCTGTAAGAGGAGCCGGCAACGTTGTTGTCCTTGGGGAGGTAGGGATCCAAAAGACGCTGGCCCTGAGTGATGTTGCCGCGGTGGATAACACCCAAGGCAGCAGTAGCAGTGAACTTGGACCAGTTGACAGCCTTCTGCAACCAGTCAAGGTTGTCCCGGAAGAACCCGTCGTTAGTGGTGCCAGAGTTCATGAAAGCGTTGGCGAAAGTGACGGAGGTGTGGAAGATGGAATTCCTAGCTTCCAAGCTGTCGCGGATCTTGTTGAGGACGTTGCGGTCGGCGTGGTTGTTCCTGTACAAGAATTCCAAGTTGAGCTCAATGCTCTTGGTACCCTTCAGGATGTGGCGGATGGATGCAAAAGCCTTCTTCTGCTCCTCGGTGGCCGGCTTCGCCTTCGTCCTGGAAGGAATCGTCGCAGTATGCGCGCCTTCGTTGTTGTGCTCCGCGTTGGCAAGCAGCCCATCGGTCTCCCGAGCGTTCTCGCCGCTGTCTGTCTGCATCGCATCGCCGTTGCCGCCAGTTTGCGCCGCGCTTTCGTCCTTCTTTTCCTCCTCTGACTCGGGCAGCTCTTCCATAACCTTGGACAGGAATTCCTGAGTGCTGTTGTCGTAGAGGTCGAAAGAAAGCTGGTAAGCCACAGCAAGGGAGTGGCCATCACCGCGCTCAACCAGATGCCTGAGCATGTTCGAGGCCATCGAGTGCTGGTTCAGGTAAACGACGCATTTGGCGATCGAGAAGTAGTCGGGGTTAGGGAGCTCGTTGAGCATGTCGAGGATAAGTCTCAGGATCTACAATCATGATTAGCTTCCTGTCCGTATAGACAGACTTTCATCTGACAGCATACCTCATTCCTCAAGCCTCTCTCCTGAACAACGTTCATGCAAATGTCCAGAACGTACTCCATCAACTCCTCGCTCTTGCTCGGGCCGCCATTCGCAGCCTTCTTTCCCTGCTTCTTCTCATCCTGGCTGGCTCTCAGGATCGTCTCGCGCAGCACCTCCAGGTTCCTGGCCTCGATGGCGATACCGACAACCTGACGGTACGCACCAACCTCGTAGCAGCTCTCGAATAGCCGCCTGATGACCGTCTGGAGGTTCCTCTGCACCGCCCGGTTCAGCGCCAATGGCGAGGGGTGTGCGCCCGACACACCGGCATTGCCACCACCGGGAGCGGACGGGTCAAAGGTTGTCGAGTCTTCGCGGGAGAGGAGCGATTTTGATGGGAGAGTAGACTGGGAGAAAGGAGTGGTCGGGGAGGTCAGGCTAGCCGCGGTGCTAGCGCCACCGTTTGCGTTGGGCGGGAACGACGTGGTAAGCTGCGGCGGCGGCTGGTTCGCTGTGCTTGCCGGAGTCGAAGGATTATGCATCGCAGATAGCGCAATGTACGTATCGACACATTTCGCTATGATGATGCGGTTAGCGGAGCCGATAAGCTTAGAAGGAACTCAAATCGCCCTCCGGCAACGCAACGTACCAACTATCGTGTCTTCAAACTCGCCGGGATGATCTATGCTGAAGAGCTTCCCTGCGCCTAGTGCGAACACCATGCTCTCGTTGTATTCCTGCAGCTGGTAGTAGACCTTGGCCGCCACCAGAGCTGCAAGCTCTCTCTCGGGAAACGACTCATCCTCGTACAGAGTTTCTCTGTCAGGGCAGAAGTGTCAGCATGCTGAGCAGATGATTTCAGCTCTGGAGCGCAAAGCGACCCCGATAGCACCGGGGGTAGCTGTTCATGACCCGCTTGCGTCATGACGGAGCAAACAGCTCACAAAAGGCGGGAGGCAAGGAGAGGAGCTTCTTACATCTGGCCAACGGAGCCTGCAACCTCGGGCCACAGGAGATCAATCTCTTCGTTTAACCGGTGGAGGGCGAACGACCTGACCTCGGCGTCTGGCTCAGACAGGAAGCCGACGAGGCCGGCGGCGGAGGTCAAACCACCCATGATAGACTGATCGGACGGCTGGCTTTTGGTTGCTGGGCGAGGTTGGGAGGCGGCGGTCATGGGGTTGATGTGGATGGAAGGTGTGAGGTTGTGAATGATGATGAGGGAGCTCTCATCGACGCGCGATGGCAACGGATGGAAGCTCAGACGGCAGTCCGCCAAGACGCCAGCAATCCCATTCCCATAGAGCATGTGATTACGTGAGTCGTCTGCCACTCTCGACCAACTCCAAGGCCCGCATCGCGTTGCAACACGAGCCGCATCGCATCTCGCACCCTCCGCTGCGTGAGTGCGCTGGCTGCGTCTTGTCGACGTCGACCGCCCAGGCCCCAATCACCCGCACCCATTGATTCTTAACCAACACCTTTGTCGCATTCGTCGCGCCGCCTTCCCGCACCCTTTCGCTACGGCCATGGACCTTCGCGACATGCTCAACGATGATGGAAACCTGCCGCCGCAGTCGCCGCTGAAGGCCCGGCATTCCTCCATCGTCTCTCAGACTTCGTCGACCTTTCAAGCTTCGCCTGCGCCAACCGAATCGCCATCAAGGCCCGCTCGCCGCCGGGGGCCCCCGAACTGGGCCAAGCGCTTCGATTGGGATGCGCTGCAACGTGGAGGCCATCCGCCTCTCCCGCATATACCGCCTAAGAACCCGACAGAAGTTGTGACTCCGCGCCAGCAAATGACGCCGCAGCCGCCTGTAGCAGCGCCGGCGCCCGTACCAGTGCCGGGACCGATTCCAGCATTAGAACCTTGCCTCACGGGCGAGCTGCCGTACGACGACGTCACACGCCATGTGTGCGACTTCTTTTGGCAGAACATCATATCTCGGGAAGACCTCTTGGCGGCTCCTCCTAGCATCAAGATTGAGGTGGAGGGCAAGCTTGGGACGTTGGTAAATCGGGACACGAATCAGCGATTACAACTTCCGGTCATCAGCCAAGTGGTTTTGGCGCCAAACAGCATGGAACTAGCATTCAAGAGCTTGATGGATGAGGTATGTCTATTCCTATCGGAGTCTTCGAGTTTGTGTTCTAACTTGTCGATCGCAGCGCCAACACAAGAAAATGAATGATTTCCTCAATGGCAATGTATCCGCGGCAGTCCGGCAACGCCGACTGATTCAGTACCAACATCTGCGCGAAACCGATTCCTTCCACGTACTTGGTCCCGATGGCATCGCGATGCTACCGCCAGTTGCGCGAGGCATCATGGCAAACTCCGGTCACAACCGAAAACCGCGCGTCCGTGTCACTCATGACACCAAGACCGGCGCGCTCAAGAACCAGATCATCAAGACGCGCATCGCCGACCTAGACATCTACTCGCCCCAAACTGCTTTTGATTGCCGCATCAGCATAAACGCAGAAATCACTTTCCCCGAGGACGCCAGCGATTTTGAGCAAATAGACGAACCTCCGCGCATCAAGGACCGCATGAGTTATGTTCATCAATTCAATCAGATCGACCTGACACAGGTGCACGGTAGTAACGGAAAGGTTCACGAGCTGGAAATCGAACTGATGACAGATAAGCTCATCGAGCAGGGGATGCTTACGAAATCCGGGCAAGATAATTGCTATGAGACGCTGGTGGGCGCGTTTGTGAACAATATACGGCTTCTATCACGAGAAGCGACGTAAAGGGAGAGCATAACTCCCAAAGCGGGGCCCAGCTATGACAGAAAGAGTAACGTGACCAGGAGAAGGAGCGGGGAGCTAAGTGCTGCTAAAATCGCAAGCTCCAGGAAGCATTTCGAAGGCACAAGCACGGGAGACCCAGAAGGCAGGAGTTGGTTGGTTGGTGCTGGCGCATAAGATATCGAGATACCCCACGGCTGCATCAGGTTTCATGCCGAGGTCGGCACTGTAGGATTATAATGGAGCGAGCAGCAGGTTTCGTGGAGGCCGCCTGTGGAATACACAGTACACACTACATACTACAGAGACGGAGGCTTTATTCGCTGTGCTGTGCTGTGCTACGTTGAGAGCGTCATGGACGTTTCGTACCCGTGCTTGGGGATTCATGCGTCATGGACAAAGAAGCCAGAGCCGGATGGGGCAGGTCGTTGGAAACAAGGGGCTTTGGGATGGTCCGGCAGTTTTTTGGGAAAGTCCGTGAGCGCGGCTTTGGTCTGGCTTGGCTGTTGTTCTGCCGTCCGGCATTGTTCGCGTTTCACTCACGCATGAATCCATCGGTCGTAATAGGTGGGTAAATACGGCTTTTAGAACAGCACTTCGCAGATACTATGTATTCGAACAGCTATAGCCCAAGGCTCGGCTATCCAAGAAGCCTCAAAGGCCTCAACAGTGGAAAACAAAAAATAAAAAGGACACTTCCGCAAGTAGTACACAAAACCACTGCGCAGTGCTCTTCCCTGCAAGATCTGTCTACTCACGTCCTAAGTCTCTGGCGCCACCCCCTCCCCAGTTTCTGCCCAGAACGTATCGTGAGCCAGCCAAGCGAGTACACCGTGCCATCGGGCTGAGACATATCAATCACCTCTACCTCCTGCTCCTCTCCCTTGCTCGAGTCAGCTAGCTTGTCTTTTGGTGCGCCGTCCGCGGAATCTGCGATGCTGTCAATATCGTCAATGCCTATGAAGCCGTCGTTGTCGGAGGTGGTGTCATTCTCGGGGACCTCGGGGGTCTCAGAGGCGTCAGAGATCTCAAAGACACCGTCGTCTTCACCGTTGTCTTCAGACACACTGGCGTCCTCAGAGACCTCAGAGGCCTCGGCGTTGCTCCAGCTCCCGGAGCTAAGACTAATGACAGAGGCTGTGCGTCGTAAAGCGGCCCGGAGCCTCGCGGATGGCGTCGTCGAAGTCGGGAAGGCGGCCTTAGAGCTTCCCATACCGGCGGTGTCCTCGGGCGTCGTCTCTGTGGATTCTGTTGTCGGAAGCCGTGCGTCAGAGCGTGTTGTCGCGGGCCAAGAAAATCTAACCTTTCGTCTTGGTCCAGCTCTTGCGGCCCGTTTTGGAAGCAATCTTGTGCTTAACAGTCTTCTTCGGGCTCCTCTTGACCTTAACATTCTTCCTAACCCCAGCCTTCCCAGTAGCAGGTTTCCCAGCCGCAGACTTAGTAGCGCTCCTCCCCCGCGCCTCCCTCTCCGCAACCCTAAACGACAGCCTCCGCGGCGACGCCTCCACCGGCAAGCCCTGCCACCTCCTCACAGTCCTCTCGACAGTCTCGAGCACGCGAGCGCGCGCATCCTCGCGCCGCATGCCCCGCGCCAACAGCTCGTCATACGGCGTCTCGGCGTGGCGGGCGTGCGCACGCACCGCGAGCGTGATCTTCTCCTCCGGGGTGCGCGTGCCGGTGCGTCCGACCCGTCCGCTGTGCTTCTCGAACGCGTGCGCCAGGATCTTGGCGCCGAGAGCTGGTGGCAGGCGTGGGAATAACCGTGTTAGCACTTTTTGCGCGTCGCTGAGCGTTTTTTCGTCCCGTGTGCGCGTCGCGGCGCGTCGCGCTGCGGCTGTTTCCGCGGAGGCTGCTTGCACTTCTTTGTAGATGACTGAGGGGACCCGGATGCCGAGGCGTCGGTTTTTGGCATCCTGATTGGAGGTGTTAGCTGGGGGAGGGGGTGGCAGGGGAGTTGAGGCGTACGTGGACAATGTAGACGTCTGCGCCGCTGTTTAGGGTGAGGGTTTTACTGTTGGTCATGTGAGTGCCAGTTTGGTGGTTTTGGCCGCTGAAGAGTTATGTACCAATTTTTTGTTATGTATAGGTCTCCTGATTTGTATTAGCTACAGTCCAGCGAAAGATGAGCTTGAGGAACATATCAAACCTTTTGGAACAAAATCATACCCCCGTGGCAGTGGAGCATGACGAGGAACGGTACGCTCCATAGCTTCTTTTTCTGATTCCAAGTAGAGCCAAGGGTATTTATAGCGGAACGTAAATAGCCTTGGCTTCCGAGGATATTCTTTAAAGAGGTTAGGTAGATTTCTGACGAACATGAGTTTGGAATATTGTAGAAGACGCTAGACTTTGGCAGATGGTACGACTACAATTTTTGGACACATCTTTGAGTTTAAGGAATTCACCTACCACAAAGGCCGATAGCCGGTACTGTTCGCGGTCGCTATTCCTTTGTCTACTACAGTGTTGAAAGGATAGTTCAAGAGCGACGCAAGCGGTCGCGAATTAAGGTACTTGGACGTTGAAAGGACATAACATGGAGTTGGTTAGGCTCCTCTCTTGAACGTAGCATCTCGATGTTTTCCGAAGTACGTTGTGGCACGTCGAGTCGAGCGCGTAAGACGTCAACAACGTCGCTGCGTATATCTCAGCACGAATAAATGCTTGCGTGCGTAGAATACAGCACGGCGGGCCTAAGCGCCAGAGCATCGACAGCCAGGCAGCAAAGTCCGAGGTCCAAGGCAAACAGATTTTTGAAGAATAATAAATTTGGTAACTTCGTAAGTTTACGTAGAATACCTTCTCCTGATCAGCCTTTGCCTTCTTCAGAAAGTTTGAACGCGCAACGTCTCAAAGTGCCGAGGGCGGACACGACTTAACCAGAGCCTCGGTTATCAACCTCGCAACGACAACCCGCTGACCCTCGACGTTCGGCAAAACCACCTCCTTTCAGAACCAACTGCACGAGTTCCACCTCGACAAGCGGACAGCACTCGGGTTTTATGCGCGCCGGCAGTGTGCTGGCTCACGGCGATCCAGTTTTTGCGACTCCACAGCAGAATGGCGCATTGTGAAACAGCGCAATCAATCCTCTCACAAGATCCCCGGTAGATCCTCCTAATTGCCGGCCAGTGCTTCTTCTCCACTATCTCCTTGTTTGACCTAACCGCCGCTTTGAAACTTCTGTGAGACTCCACTTTGATGTCGCTCGCAACGTCGCTTGCAGTGTGTTTTGGAGTCGCGGCCCGTCTGGACGTCGGCTGTTCGGGCGAGAAATGCCTATCGTGAAGCTGCAAGTCTCGTCCCATGGTCTCCAATTCTTCCTCGAGGGTCATGAGATCGCATCACTTTTTTCTGCAAGCAAGAGCTTGGGTATGAGGGTGAGGTCCGGATATGGAACTGTGGCGCAAGTCACGGCCCTGGCTGTCTAAAACGAGCTATCGACATGGCACAGGAGTTCATATCGACGCTCGGTTATTGTTCTATAACAAGCATAATCCATCCCTTGTCTCAGACATTGGGGGTGGGGGGAGGCAGGGACCGTTTCGCTACCCGCCCTCGAACCGAAGCTTAATCCCAAGCACGTTATGACTGGGATCTCCAAACAACATTGATGTTTTTGGGCGGAACTTGATTGGATCTTCACGCATAAGGCTGTCACTTAGCCTCGGAAACATCTGCCGAGAGATGCGGCAGCAGCACGTTTAGTGTTCCGCAGCGGAGACGGCAGCGTCCTGATCATGCAAGCTAATCTGGGTGTTGAGAATATATAAAACCCTTCGCTGCCAACAGTCTTTTGCTCTCCAAGGAACCGGCTTCCCTTGAAACATACTTTCGTTCTACACTTCTCTCACTGAATACCTTCGCTTTTACAACTCTTAAACAACCTTCTCAAGCAAAATGAAGTTCTCTACGAGCCTTGCCCTCTTCGCCGCTGGCTGCGCCAGCGCCCACTGTACGCCGCACCCTTCGATTCCCAAATTTGGCAAATGATTGTTCTAACAAGCCCGTCAGACACCTTCCCCGCCCTTATCGTCAACGACCAGGTCACCGAGGACTGGAAGTTCGTCCGCATGACGAAGAACCACTACTCTCACGGCCCTGTCCAGGACGTTACCTCCCAGGACATCCGCTGCTACGAGGACCCCTCTGCCAGCGCCGAGACCAAGGAGGTCAAGGCCGGTGACTCCGTCGGCTTCAAAGTCGACTCCAACCTCGGCCACCCCGGTGCGCTGCAGTTCTACATGGCCAAGGCGCCCGAGGGCAAGACGGCCAAGGAGTTCAAGGGTGACGGCGACGTTTGGTTCAAGATCTCCGGCCAGGGCCCCAAGATCAACAACGGCGAGCTGTCGTGGCCTTCCGATGGTACGTAACACGCACAAACAAACAACCAAACCCGAGTGCTTGACTAACACGCACCAAACAGGCGCCAGCCAGATCAACGTCACCATCCCCGAGTCCACTCCCAACGGCGAATACCTCTTCCGTGGCGAGCACATTGCCCTGCACGGTGCCCAGGAGGAGGGCGGCGCCCAGTTCTACATCGCCTGCGCCCAGATCAAGGTCACTGGCGGTGGCAACGGCTCCCCTTCGCCTACCGTCGCCCTGCCCGGTGCCTACAAGGCTTCCGACCCTGGCCTCAAGATCAACATCTACTACCCCGTTCCTACGAGCTACACCCTTCCCGGCCCTAAGGTCTGGTCCGGTTAAGCGTTTTATGTACGATGTGCTGAAATAAGAGATATCCATGTTGATGGCTTGGAAGGTGGTGGTTTGGTGACGCTGTAGTTTGTAAATGAATGAACTTCGTTACTTTCTTCTAACCATGGGACTCTATGCTGTTGACTGAATGTGGTGAATACTCTATAAAATGCCGGCAGAATTCAGGACATGGGTTCAAGGCAAGTACATTGATACCGTGCAAGCTCGAACCACATTATTCAAAAACGCAGTCTAAATATGAAGGCCTACTCCCTCTGCAAGCTTGATATTTGGCACGAATAGTGACCAGTCTAAACCCATTCGATGTCCAGTTGCACTCAATCTATATCAATGTTCCAAACCCATTCCTTCACCAATGTGGAAAGAGCTTGCGAAAAAGGCGGGACAGAAATTTTACGACGCGTCCGAATAGCACATGCAAACAAAGAATTGAATTGAGCCAGCCATTACTGATCGAAATATACTGTTCTTCATCATTTCCCCTGCACGATATCCACTAAATAGACCTAGCCCTCACAGCCCCCATCACCTCAGCAAATCTTCCCTCATCGTCACCAACATCAATAATAGAACTGCCTAACACAAGCAGATGTCTATCTCCTACCTAACCACAACTACCATTCTGACAACCTGGCCCACCCAACCATCCTCAAACAATGGTGTGACGTGCCGGTATAGCAACCAGTTGTAATCTTTGACGCGTGTTGCTGGTGCTGGAGGTGTATACAAGGAAGTACCTCATCGACTATGAGCCCGAAAGCGCCAAAGTACCCGCAATCGACGAAGCTAAAGCTTACTCTCATCGATGCACGCAAATCCACTACAAAAAGGAGTAACTTCCCCCAATTCACTCCTTGCCCAGCACATACGCAAACTCAGTCCCTACTCATTGTCATGCGTCTCTTCGTCTCTCTTTCATAATATCCACCATAACTTTCCAATGCTCGCGACCACCATCATCACCTCTTTACAAAGCTTACTATTACTAGTTACCCTCTTCTTCTCTTGCATATTTACGTACACTTCAACCTTATGTAGCGGCTTTCAATGGTTTCCCAGCACGCGACCAATGAGCCCATCGGTGGATTTCGTTAATCCATAATTCCAAAACAGTATATGGTGTTAATTCGTTGAAGGGGTCCGGTAATCCAGTCAACGCAATTTCCAATCACAATTCTCTCACCCTTGGTAATACCAGTCCTTCCCCAAGGATGCGTTTCAACCAGAATATCTCATGAGGCCTTGATGCCTACTGATGATTTCCTCCCAAACAATCTCTTTACCACCGCCATATCCGAATGCCCTACAGCACCAACAGCGGCCCCATCTCTCGCGCATAATACTGAGCTAGGACTGGTCAGCATAAGACCACGGAAACGCCTTACCACAATGCAGTTGGGAAGAAGAGTGGAAGGAATAGGAGAAGAAAGAACAGAATCTTAAAGAAAAGGAGTGTGCGGAGAAGGAAAAGAAGGCTGTATCTAGTAAGGGGAACATGGCCTTCGCACTAGATGATGCTCATCTGAGTATTCCCATGGCAAGCTGCTATTTGCAATATAACAACGTTCGCTTGTATAATCTGGGTAGTAAGACAGTTATTGCCCTATAAAGGCAATGCCCTACAGAAATTCCACATCATTCCCGGGTATGGCCGCCACTACCAAGGCGGTCACTCTCGTTATTGAACATGCGGACTTCGACGAAGTCGAGTTGAACAACGATTGGATTGGGCTCAGAAATGCGAACATAATCCTTGAATCCGTGTTACGGTCAAAGTTGGTTTTTACTTGACTCGCTGCGTGCGCTTGCTGTAATATCCACCACTTACCTCCAGCACTGCCGACGCTCGTCGTCTCTCGGTGGAGATGCTCATAGTCATACGAGATGGTCGTGGCTTGCTTTAGCTGTGGGCTGTCGGATTTTTTGCGCTTGGGAAAATCCAGAAAGTTCCACGGGATCATCATCGCTCTGCAACAAGTCTCTGCGTCGTACCTGCCGAAGCCATCCTCCTTCAATTCATCTGCCGTAATTCCGGCAGAGTCCGTGAAGAGATGGGGTAGAAGTGTCGACGTGATACTGGTTTCTTAATTGCTTCTCTGAGATATTCATTAAGAGACCCACTGCGGAGTGCTTCAGGAAGCCATAATTCTTTTCGTCTTCTGTGGTTTGGTATGCATCTTCTAGGGTGAGGGATGTTGAAAAATTCGAGCGCGTTGATATATTTATCTGTTGAAATTACCCACACCTACCTAACTTGGATCCTGAAATCGTCCCTTCAACCACCATATTTTCGCTCTACTGGAAATCGTCGGTGCGTGTATGTAGGTGGCCGTGCTGTGCAGCACTCACTTCAGATGACATATATTTACATAATAGTTGAACGCGATATCGAAGGAATTTTACTTCACTTAAATAGAAAGCGTAGGGTCACAACTCACAAAGGTCAATTCAGTCGCAGTCTGGAAAAATAACTGTATAAATAAAAGAGCTCTTCAACTACAAAACAAGGAGCGGTGGTGGTATACGAAACGCAATCATAATATCCCATGCCAAAACTCCAAAGCGTAACACGCAATTCCACTTCCACCCGCGATACCATCCCTCAGCTCATTCAACGCCACACCCTATGTTACGAGTAAGAAAATACGAAAAATCATGCAATCCTAGCGCCCTTCCGGCCTCTTGCGATCAGCTGGGCCTTCAAGTCGCTAACAGCTTGACCCCAGTTCGCTTCGCCATTGACATTCACCTCAGACCCGGTGTAGTTGCTCAGGAACTCTCCCATCCTGCCCTCCTTGTACTGCTCACCGTACACAACCTTTACTTTCGTCTCAATGACTGTCTTCAAGTCCTCACCGTCGACGCTCACGCCCACTTCGAACGTCGCTTTGACCTTCGTCTGCAGAGTCGGCAGCAGCATGTTCGTCGTCACGGCCATGCGCTCGTCGCTAAGGATGCTCTCCTCAGTGACTTGCGCGAGATCGAGCTTGCGCACGTTCTCGGCCACGGCGCGGGCGACGTCCCACCCCGAGCGGATGTGTGCAAGAAGATGTGGGACCGTCGTCGTCGACTGAGGGAGGCAGTGAAGGTTGGCGCGAAGCAACTGCAAGAAGAAGCGCTTGGTGGTAGTGAGAGGACTGTCACCAATATAGGTGAGTCTGATGGTGGTGGAGTTGGGTGCCGAAGGCGCGGCGTGAGGAGCGAAAGAAGCGGGTTGGAAGAAGAGTTGTAGGTCGTTGCGATAGGTCATGGTAAGAGTCTTTGGGTTGGCACTGGCGGAAGTGATGAGCCAGCCATACTCACGCTCAAGCGCCGAGACGCGAGCCTTGAGGGCATTGACTTCTTCCACAGACCAACCACGGCATTCTTCCCGGACGCGCTCAGCAGTCTTAATCTCTTCGAGACATTCCACCTTTCTCTCCTTGGTCGCTTCGATGCCGGTTTCCTTCTCGGCAAGTTCCTTCTGCAAAGCCTCAACAAGACGCTTCTTTTCCTCGATAGCGGCCTCAGCAGCAATAATCTGCTCTCTCGTGGCATCGAGTTCTTCCCTGTCAGGACCGTTAAGCTCTTCAGCGCGGCGCTGCAAATGCCCATGCTCCGTCTCGAGTGCTTGGTGGTGCTCGGCCACAGCAGGCAACACGGAATCAAGAATCTCTTCTTGCTGCTTTAACGTTGCGTTGTCACGGTCGAAGCTCTCGGCCGTCTTAGTCAAGCCGGCCTTGAGATCACGAAGAAGGTTACTCCGCCAACCATACCACGCCTCTTTTGTCTTCAGGCGTGCGTTCGTCTTCATGTTCTTGAACTGATTGTCCATGATGTAACGCTGGTCAGGAGGAGCCGAGAGATAATCGCGGAACAGAGCTGGGTTGTCTTCGTAGGTAGATTCCTCGATTTCGCGGACAACCTCTTTACCCTCTGAGATGTACTTCTTGAGTTCGTGGCATGCCTGCACGGGTCAGCACATCAATCAAACATGTTCTGAAACAAGAAGTCTTACGTGCTGGAACATCAGGTATTCGGGCTCTGTACACGCGGCAGCGACAACGCAAGTCTCCAAGTCGTCGCTTCCTTCCATTTCATCATCATTGCTGGGGCCTTTCCCGAAAGCGCCTTGTGCTCCTGGAAAGCCAGTATGTCTGCGCTTCGTGGTCGTCAAAGTATCCATGAAGCGGATGTTTGTTAGTTCAAGGAACTCGTGAAGTTGGATATTATCCGCATGCATTCCTTCGGGTGTGTCCTGGGCCGAGTCATGCTTCTCTGACGTCGAATCGACTTGCTCCTGTTCTTCTTCTTCGCTAGCAGCATTGAATTGGACTTGCTTACGAGGAGATGCAACTTTCTTTGGGATGGGACTTTTCTTTGGTGTGGTCGACTTTTGCGGAGTAGACTCATTAGGAGCAAAAGCGATTGACCGCTTAAGTGGCGAGCCGTAAGCCTGCTTGCGTGGGGTTGAAAGAAGCTTAATGGAATCTGTCAGAGCCATGGAGCGTTTAAACATTGGCTCCTCTGTTGGCAGTGGGTCTGCTGGGGCGTCTATCGACATTGGGTCCGCTGGAGCCTCAGTTGGCGTTGGGTCCGCTGCAAGCTTTGTTGGCGTTGACTCCACATCAGGCTTAACTGGCGTTGATTCTGCTGCTGACTTCGTTGGCGTCGGCTCCGTTGGAGTTTTTGTCGGCGTCGACTCTACTGGAGCCTCTTCTGGAGCCAGCTCCGGCAAAGTCGGGTATTGGACGTCGGCGGAAGGGGCCGTTTCAGCATTGTCATTTTCAGCATTCTCAACAGCCGGAGTTGGGGCTGAAGACTTGGCTTGGTCCTCGGGGGGTGAAAGATTCGAGGCAACTGGGACCTCTGGAGTTGCCGAGGCGAGACTGTTGCGTGTTGACCTCCGCAACGACCGTCTTGGGGACTTCTTTGGCGTGTTGTCCTTTACAATGTTGAGAGCTGGCATTGGTTTAGCAGTGTCTGCCAATGCAAGCGTGGCATTGCTGGCCTTGACAGGCGAGGGACTAGGCACTTCCGGATGATTGTTGGTGAACCTTGCTGCGCTTCCGCGCTTGCTGGGAGGAGTCGCTACGGTTACGCCTTTGGACTGGGGCGTAGAAGGCTCAGGTACCGTCTGCTTGGTTTTTATACCGCCCAAGATCGCAGTGAACTCCATGGAAAGATCTTCATTTCCATCCTTGCTCACGATGGTCTCGTCCGCGGGCTCTGTCTCTTGAGCACCACTGTTAATACCTCCCATCACCATAGTGAAGTCCATAGTCTCGTCACCGAAGGAATTGTTGACACTCTCACGACGGTTCGGCTTTTCTGGGGCTGGATCAGCCTGGATCCCCCCGACGGCCATCGTTAGGTCCATAGTTCCGTCTTCCAACGAATCTCCTTCAACAGCTGACTGTCTTCTGCGAATGCTCATACGGCGAGATTGGCGTTTGGCAGGGCTACCTTGATCATTCGTGGCCGACATTGTGGACGACCTACGCCGCTTGTTTCCTGCGCGAGTGCTTGGTTGCTCTGCTTGCTCGGTCGATTGGATACTACCAAGAGCAGTGGTAAATTCCATGGTCATGTTCTCCTGCTCTGGGCTTTCAGGCTGACGCTGTGGTTGCATTATACCGCCAATGGCACGTGTGATGTCCATGCTCATTTCCTCTTCATTCTCTTGCTGCTGCTCCGCTTGTTCAGCCTTTGGTGGGCTGCTTTCCTTGGTCGACGATTTTTGCACCCATGGTTTGAAGGCTGCGGTGATCTCGTCTCCCGCCATCTCCATTGACGCATCATCTTCATTGTCTTCATCAAAGTCAAAGCGTCTGGTTCCCGCTTGCGCTGCAGCTTGCCGAAGAGCAGCGTCCAAGCGCGCACTAGTACCAGTGGAATCGTCTGATGCGACCGAAGCCTGAGTTTGTTCATTCCCATCTCCCATATCAATGCTCATCATCGTACTGCCTCCATCATCGTCCGAGGCTATTTCGATGTCGTCGCTGCCATCAGCAGACTCTCCGCTGTACGGACTTGATGAGTACACATCGTCTGGGTTATTGAAGTTCATCGGAGGAATTCCTGAGCTCCTTCGGCGCTTCTTCTGGTGCAAATCACGCTGCTTAGCAGGCGATGATTCCGGTGTTGGATCCTCGACTTGCTCCGGGGGCGTGGACGGTGGGTCGGCGGGATCAGAGTCGGGGCCCGAGCCACGCTCTGGAGAACTCGATTCATGGTGCGTCATGTTCGACGCCCTGCGCGTAGAGTTCGACGATGCAGAGGAAGATGTGGCATCGCGCATGTATTCGACGACGTCCCAGGTGTGGAGAGTGGCCTCAGGCGCGAAAGAGACGCGTCGTTTGGCTGCGCAGAGTCAGAACCGTATCTTATTAAACGCAAACAGAGCAGCGTACCAAGAGACTTGCGACGCTCCTCGCGACGCTTGACTTCATCCTCTCTGGAAAGAATCGACTTGACTGCAGGTGCCACGGCAGGCATCATCGACTGCGCGCTGTTAACTTTGATCCAAAACAGAGAATGTGCAAGATTCCACACCTTCCTGCGATTGCCAGCATTTTCCTTCAATGGCTCCTCAAGGCCGCCAGGGCCTATGCTCTTGCTTCGCGACTTTCTGCTGGACTTCTTGGGCGACAGCGCCGGCGCCTTGGTGGGTGCCGTGAGGGCCACATTGAGCCCATCGGCAATGTTCTCCTTGTTGTGATCCGTGGCCATTGCGCGGGTGTAAAAGACTGACTGTGCGCAATGGGTGGGGGAGGCGAGGAGGACGCGGGCTTGACGTCGGGTTGTTGTTGTTTACCCTTCGGAGTACGGCTTGGCTCGGCTTGGCTTAGGGCCGTGGGGCTCCGGCTCGGGACATGTCGGCGAAACGATTTTGCGAGATCGCTCCTGCCGCACACAGCTCCGCCTCGCCATTTTGCGCCCTCGAACTTTTCCGCCGACCAACGACGACCAGCCCATCCACCCGCTCACCCTACCAGACAACCCGCGCCTTAGCAGCCATGGCGACCGAGCTTACCGTCCAGAGCGAGCGCGCTTTCCAGAAGCAGCCTCACATCTTCCAGAACACCAAGGCGCAGAGCGGCAAGAGCAAGCGCGTTGGCAAGGGTGGCCGTAGATGGTACAAGGACGTTGGTCTGGGCTTCAAGACGCCCAAGACCGCCATTGAGGGCTCCTACATCGGTATGTGGGGATCTTGTTGATGGAACGGCCGCCTGGAGAAATCACAAAGGACGAGATAAGAGATGGGAGGGCGATTTCCAGGCCGTGTCCTAAGGAAGCTATTCGGGCAACCTGGACACGATTGCTAACGCCGCGATTTACAGACAAGAAGTGCCCCTTCACTGGTCTCGTTTCCATCCGTGGCCGTATCCTCACCGGCACCGTCGTCTCCACCAAGATGCACCGTACCCTGATCATCCGCCGCGAGTACCTCCACTTCGTCCCCAAGTACTCTCGTTACGAGAAGAGGCACAAGAACCTGGCTGCGCACGTCTCTCCCGCTTTCCGTGTTGAGGACGGCGACCAGGTCACCGTTGGCCAGTGCAGGCCTCTTTCCAAGACTGTACGCCGAACCCTTCGATTCGCTGGCTGCGCGCCCAATTCGCTCCACGAAGAGACCCTATGTATAATTTTGGACAAAATACTGATGATGATGATAGGTCCGTTTCAACGTCCTCCGCGTGCTTCCCCGCACCGGCAAGGCCGTCAAGCAGTTCGCCAAGTTCTAAGCGGGTTTTACTGGGTTGCAATTCTTCATGGGACATCGACGCTTGGGCTACGTGGAAAAGGGACATGTAGCATAAGCGTAGCAGATCAAAAACTGTGCATGACGCCGCGGTGTCATTTTCTGGGCCGAGATGCGAAGGGGAACAACGGGTGATCTTCGTAGTCACGAGAAACACGTCTAGAAGCAAATCTACCTGGTTCCGATGCGTTGAATATGCACGCAGCGCTACAAGTTTAAAGTGCACCAGCTTCTTCCAGATGTTACTGTCCATATACTTATTGCAACAGTATTCAGTGGAAGCGGAAGTAAACCAAGTCTTCAGTTTAAATAATTAAACTACATGTACTTACGTAGATTATGTAGTCGACAGCTGCATCTACACTTTAGCCGAACGAAAGGCTCCCGAAATGTGGGTTGCGACGATATATAGCCTTGTGACAGTAGTTTCGGAACGAGAATGCGCGCGGAGAGCTAGCAGCGCGTTTGTGGACGTGACTTCCCGATGTGCGGTCGCGCCTCGTTGGTCTCATTGACGCAGTAAACCACAAACAACTTCACTCCTGCACCGTCAAAACAACACTCCTCTCCGCACGCATCGGCAGAAAGAAGACACAAGCTTCAGACGCTTCATACTTCATTGTCTGCTCAGCACGTACACTACATGTCATGACCGACAGCGATATTGACATGACCTCGTTTGCAGGTAGCGCCAGTAACCCTGTGGATTTGACACAGGCACGGGTGAGCGACCGGCCGGCCATTACTATCGACCTTACAGGAGACAGTAGTGAAGATGAAGCCGGAACCTCGTCTACGCGAGCCGACACAGCAGCTTTGACCAACAACATTCTCGCTCATTCGCCAACGAGAAATCAAAACATTGAGACTGAGAGAGCGCCTTCCGAGGCAACAGCAAGACCAAGCATTACTGAAAGCTCTGCCGCTGCCGTCAATGATGCAAGCCCACTAAGCAAGCCGGCCGAGCCATCGTCCGTAATTTCACCTGCAAGTTCGGATCATCAGGCGCCCGCAAAGTCTATCGCGCAGAATTCCCGCCTGACCCAGCCCGGCAACCCATTCAACAAGCAACCCACCGTGCCTTCCGGGAACCAAGCTTCACCGCTGACAGATAGCAACATGTCATCTGGAGCCACCAGTATGGGTACACAGTTGCACAATGCTGGTTCTGATGGCGGACTAAAACGGCAAAAATCTGTCGTTATTAACTCGAGCGATGATAACCATGATGGCGATGACAATTCCAATATCACAGAAAAAGGGTCTTCGCCCTTGCCCGCGCGAGTTAACAAGTTGACCAGTCGACCGAGAAAAGAAATTTCGCACGAACAAGCAGAGTCTACACATGTCCCGGATCGAACTGATGAAGTCGAGAATGTGGTGAGTCCGCGCGATGCGACATTCTTTCCGTATATTCTAACTCCTCTAGCGGAGCAACAACGCCGATGATTCACCAAGGGTAAGCCCTGCTCCTCCCGAGGCGTCTGTTGCGCAGGCGAAAAATGATCCAGCGACGATTACCAGCCTAAATACCGATCTCGGTAAGTAGATACCTTTCGTTTCAGCGAAATGCTTTCAGAGTTTTCCCGTGTCGAGACATAGGGACAAAAAGTGCAAGATTTCGCAATAGTAATACCAGAGCTAAGATAATTTGCAGAAATTCATCTTAAACAGCTTCACGAAGACCATGAATATTTTGCTCGGGTAAGTCAACTGAACACGTCGCCGATTTTATGTTGCTGACAATGTTCTTTCCCAGAACCGGCTCATGCGGGCGCGGATGTGCTATCGCGTGGCGTCAGAAGAAGATACTCCCGTGCAAGATCTTGCTTCGGGGCCTAGTATAGTGCCACCGCAATTTCTCCAAGATGCCTTTCCTTGGCCAGAGGCGACGTCAATTTTGAAACAGGGAACACCAAAGCCTAGCGAAACCAAGAAATTTGTGGAGAGGTATCAAGATATCTACATGAACGGTACGACTAAGAACAGCAAAACCACGTCACTCTATAACCATTTCGACCAATACGCTACTGATGGCCTCATAATACCGGACTATACCAATTATGTGAGCCTCAAGCAAAACCTCTTGGCTGAAAGCATCAAAACACTGCTTTATGAACCTTACTTCAGTGACGATCAGTCCCATGAGGCAGGAAAGCAATCCCTGTGGGATGAACTCAGACAACGCTTCACAAAAGCATTTGAGGAGAGACCACGGCGGGTCTTGCAAGCCCAAAAGAGTTTCCAGTATCGATCCTATGCAGAAGCTTTCTTTCAAGAAATAGGCTGTCAGATGAGCGATGTGCTCAACTATCTCTTGATGCCAGAGGCTGAGCTAAGGAGCAAACTTATATTGGCAGGTTTGGATGATCACAAGGTTGACAACTTGGTACAGACCGTCCGGCCTAAGTCTTGTCAAGAAGACTTTGACAGAGACAAGCCGAAGTGGTTGGACGTGTATGACACTTTGCCGGAATCCACGCCTGATCAACTAAGCAATGTGTGCCTCGCTTGTGAAGCATGGCGACAAAGAACCGGTTTCAGTATTTGGCACATTGCAAGACGAAGCTCTTTTGCCCAGATTCCTGGCACCACGAGTCCCTCCCAGCAAAAAAGTACCCAAGACACATCATCCTTTACATACCGGAGCCTGGCATGCCGTGTCTGTCATCTGTAAGTGGCCATCTATACACGGTACATTCGAGGGCAATATATTGATAAAAACACAGACACAACTGTCCGTTTCACGGTGAAATAGTGGAAGAGCATCGCTCCGCGCGGCCAAGACGTGCCAATGAAGATCCAGTTGATGACAATCCAAGCCGCCCAAGCCGTTCTAGGAGGAGTTCAGTATCTTCTGACTCATCCGAGGCGTCAGAGTGTTCTACAAGTACGCTGATGAATGTCAAGAAACATGTCAACGCGCCACCACGAGAAGAGGCAGATGATGATGTCGACAATGGACCGCGGCGCACTCTGCTTCACTGGCAAACCAGATCAAAGACGCATTTAGTAGACAAACGCCCACCTTTCTTCCCTTGCAGTCACGAGGGTACCTGCGACACCTCACCGGACTGTACTTGTCGCAAGAACAACATCACGTGCGAAAAGACATGCGCCTGCTCTATCTCTTGCAGGCGGAGGTTCAGAGGGTGTAACTGTGCCCAGGTGGGCACAATATGCTGGCAGAACGAAAAATGCGATTGTTTCGGTCTCAACAGAGAATGCGACCCTGACCTCTGTGCAACATGCGGCGCAGCTGAAGTCCTCGATCCCGTCAACAGGTACAATGACGCCGTAGCTCATGGTAAATGTGCGAACGTATCCATTCAACGCAACGTCCCGAAGCGCACGTTGTTGGGCCTGTCAGAGGTTCAGGGCTTCGGGTTGTTCATGGGTGAACCAGTCAAGGAATTCGATTATCTTGGAGAATACAAAGGCGAGACACTCACGAAAATGGAAGGGTCAAGGAGAGGTGCTATATATCAGCAACTTCTTACAAATTATTTGTTCGACCTCAACAAAGGCAAGTTTTCATTATCCTTGTATATGCACTGCTACGCTGACCCCATACGCAGATCAAGAAGTTGACAGTACCAGAGCTGGGAACAAATTCCGCTTCATTAATAATTCAGCTCTGGCGCCAAATTGCACGCCCAAATTGTTACTTTGCAACACAGTGGTTCGTATTGGGATGTTTGCCGCGCAAGACATTAAAAAGGGCGAAGAACTCTTTTTTAATTACAACTATCCCGCGAATATCACCAAGGGTTTCCGCGAGAGGGCTGGAGTCACCAACTCAGCCGCCGCCTCAAAAAACAAACGTAACAAGAACAAAGCCACTAGCGCCGTGAACGGCGCCTCGGCATCTTTCTCCGAATCATCCAGCAGCAGCCAGGCAGAGCACATGGGTCCCGGAAACAGAAGCTACGGAGGGTTAGGAGGGATAGCAAGCACACCACTACGCTCCAGTACCATTACCAATCTGGCATCCATCAAGAGGCACCGACCGAAGAGGAATGCAGCTAAGACGAGAAATCGGGCTCCCACTGAGCTGGCTGGTGAGGCAGAGGATGACCAGGATGAGGAGTATGCGGGTGGAGGGGTTGAAGATACAGACGAGGATGATTATGGCGACCCTACTGATGATGAATCAAACAGGCCCAGAAAGCGAGGAAGGAAAAGGAAGGACGATTGGATGTAATGAGGTAGCAGATAGAAGGAATTGCTTTGTAGATTTATTGCCAGAGGCAACAATACGAATCGCCGTTCTCCAGAAGCAAGGGGATAACAAACATGCAGCCGTGATTTGGGAAGTGGTACGGATGCCGGGCCAGTTCAAGTTTTTCGCCTTCCGTTTTGGGATTAGACTGATACAGGGGTTGCTGCCTAAGCAACGGCCCCAGCATTAGGCGTCTTTTTAGGTCTTTCCCTGGCCTAGAGTGCCTGAAATGGGGGCTCTAGGCCTAAAAAAGCCCTGTAAAAACAGGCTTTACGTAGCCCCGTTACCGCGGTAGCACCCCTGTACCAGGTCTGTCCTAAAAAGGAAGGCGAAAAACTTGAACTGGCCCGGCATCCGTATTCACGTGATGTAAGCCTTAGGCTGAATGCCTCGCTCGCGCTTCGATTACATCATCGTTTGAGATGGGGATGGTTGCCTGTGCGACTTTCTTAAGATCCGACAACGCCACATTCATGGACTTTGGACTTGACGACCTAGCATGGGTGTTACCGGCTTGTGGACCGTCGTGCAGCCGTGCGCGCGTCCGATCAAGATCGAAACTCTCAACAAGAAACGACTCGCCGTCGACGCCTCGATCTGGATCTACCAATTCCTGAAAGCGGTGCGCGACAAAGAAGGCAATGCGCTGCGCAACAGCCACGTCGTAGGCTTCTTCAGACGTATCTGCAAGCTCCTCTTCTATGGCATCAAACCCGTCTTTGTCTTCGACGGTGGCGCCCCCGCGCTCAAGCGCCAGACCATCAACAACCGGAAGCAGCGGCGAGAGGGCCGGCGCGAAGATGCAGTGCGTACGGCAGGGAAGCTGCTGGCGGTGCAGATGCAGCGGCGCGCAGAAGAAGAGGAACAGAAGCGCAAGGAACAAAAGCAGAGGGGCTCTGCCGCCGCGGTCGACGAGGAGCTGCTGCCGGAGAACCTGGTCTATGCTGACGAGGTGACGATGAGCGCGCAAGAGCGCCAACAGAATCGCAGATTCAAGAAGAAGGATGCTTATCATTTGCCTGAACTCGACGTGTCGCTCTCGGAGATGGGCGGACCGAACGACCCGCGCGTCATGAGTGTCGAGGAGCTGGAGCAGTACGCGCGCCAATTCGAGTCCGGCGAGGACATCAACGTATACGATTTCTCGAAGATCGATTTTGATGGCCCGTTCTTCCAAAGCCTCCCTGCCAGCGATCGGTACAATATACTCAATGCAGCGCGGTTAAGGAGCAGGCTTAGAATGGGATATTCGAAGGAACAACTGGATTCCATGTTCCAGGACAGAATGGCTTTTTCGAAGTTCCAGATAGACCGGGTAAGGGAACGAAACGAGCTTACACAGCGTCTCATGAACATCAACAACGGCGATGCTTTGTTTGGCATGGATTCAGCCGGGCGTGTGGCTGGCGAAAGGGACCGAGAATACGTGTTGGTCAAGAACGAGGGCGTGGAAGGAGGCTGGGCTTTGGGAGTTGTGGACAAGGATGAGGGCAAGTGGAACAAACCTATTGAAGTGGACAGAAGCAGCCCACCTAAGGAAGAGGAAGAAGAATGGGAAGAAGATGATGATTTTGAGGACGTGCCTGTTGAGGGCCTTAATCGGCTGCCTAAGCAAAGGCCTGTTGTGGAAAATGACAGGACAAGTGACCTGATGAAGCGTCGACAAGCTTTCTACAAGTCTCGCAGGGCGGGCCCTTCCGAACAGCGACGTCATTCACCGAAGCCCAGAAACGAAGATCCCGAATCGTTGTTTGTGGCGGATAAAGAGGAAGATGAGGCTGAAGAGTGGGAGAACGTCGACATTGGAATGAATGATGAGCTTTTCGAGGAAGGCGAACAGGCCGCAGGCTCGGAAGACGAAGAATTGCAGCGGGCGATTGCCATGTCGCTGGAACAGGACAAGCCAGAACAACCAGAACAGCACACTCAGCAAGAACAGGAAGTAGATGAGGATGATGACTTTCTTGAAGTTTTCCAGCAGAAAGCCGAAGAGCCGAAACCCTTCTACAAGGGTAGTGGACTTGCGATTGCCCGTATGGCTAATCAGCGCAGCAGCAAGGCAGCTGTCCCTGCTCCGACTGCCATTGTTTCTGAAGCCACACTTGCTAGGGATCGTGCTCCTCCCTCTGCTCCTTTCGCAGAAAGCGACAGCGAAACAGATGAGGTAGATTTGCAGGCTGCATTGGCGGAATCAAGGAAATCGAAGCACCAACCACGCCAGCGCCCTCAGCCTTCTCAGAGACCTGAACCCACCGCTTCTACAGGGCCGACCGGGAAATCCACAACTGAACCTTCAAAAGCCAAGGCAGGGCCCTTCAGCGGACCCCTTCCTTTCGAGAGGTTAGATCTTGGTAGTTCGCTTCTGGGTCGTAAAAAGATGCAAAAACTTGCCGAAGACCAAGCCGGTGGGTTCGAGAAGAATGATGAGAAGAGCAAAGGTGCGCCCTTACCGCCCTGGTTTGCCGAAGGCGGTGACATAAGAGACGAATTTGCGGCACAGAAGAAGTTGGAAGCGGAATACAGAGAACAGGCTCGTCGAGAACGGGAAAGAGAGGACGAGTTCCAGTTTCAAGAGCAACCGCGGTTGAGAAAACACGATACGAGGGAGGTTATTGACCTCGATGAGGAGTCTGAGCCTGAGAAGGAGAAGGAAGTCATCAATATCGAGTCCTCAGATGATGAAGATTTGGAAATGGAAGACGTCATGCCTGTTGATTCGGAGGTCAGGATAGGAGATTTGGCAGACAAAGTACGTGCAGAACCGCCACTATCATCTCCGCCTACTGTAGGTGATGCGACAACCATATCACCACCGAAGGGAACGTCTCCAGATCAAGGCAAAGCAAAATCCCCACAACCGGTGGCTAAATCCCCTTGCCCTCAAGAGCATTCCAACAAGCAGACCACTTTTTTGGAACAGGAAGCCGGGACAAGTCAAGGGCGCGGAACGCATGAGACAGATGCTTTGCCTGTAGGAGGTCAGATCCAACCTGCGGTATCCAAGTCTTCCTCCCCTGAATTTGAGATTGTTACAGGAACGGAACAGTCCCCTCAAAATTTTGGGGCGGAACCAACAGCTCAACCTGTGGACGCACGTGAAGAAGAAGGCCCAGTGCCCATGTCTGGACTGGCTGATCAAGAGCTTCTCGATGACCAAGAGGATGACCAATCAGTATACTCGGATCCCGAAGACGCAGAACTGTTCCAGCAACTCGCCACCGAAGCCGAAGAGCATGCCCGCTTTGCTTCAACTCTGAACAACAAGTCACAAGAGACCAACGCGATGGACTACGAGCGCGAGCTCAAGGCCCTGCGCAGTCAGCAAAAGCGCGACCGGCGTGATGCCGATGAAGTGACGCAGACGATGATTGCAGAATGCCAGCAGCTGCTGGCGCTCTTCGGCCTCCCGTACATCACGGCGCCAATGGAAGCAGAAGCGCAATGCGCCGAGCTGGTGCATCTCGGGCTAGTCGACGGCATCGTGACAGACGACAGCGACACGTTCCTCTTCGGCGGCACCCGCGTATACAAGAACATGTTCAACCAAGCCAAGTTTGTCGAGTGCTACCTAACGCAAGACCTCGAAGCCGAGTTCAATCTCACGCGCGATAACCTCATCGCCATTGCGCAGCTTCTCGGCTCAGACTACACGGAAGGCCTTCCAGGCGTAGGGCCCGTTACAGCGCTCGAGATCCTCTCCGAGTTCGGCAGCCTGCCCGCCTTCCAGGAGTGGTGGACCGCGGTGCAGAGCGGCACCCGCCCCGCCGCCGCAGACCAGCCCTCCCCCTTCCGTCGCAAATTCCGCAAGACCAACGCCGCGAAGCTGTTTCTCGCGCCAGGGTTCCCGGACCCGCGCGTCGCGGACGCATATCTCGCTCCAGCGGTAGACAAGGACGCGACGGCGTTCGCGTGGGGCGTGCCGGACTTGGATGCGCTGAGAAGGTTTTTGTCAGCGACGGTGGGGTGGTCGCAGGAGCGGACGGACGAGGTGCTCGTACCTGTGATTCGCGATTTGAATCGCCGCGAGACGGAGGGCACGCAGAGTAATATCACGAGTTTTTTCGGGGGCGGGGTTGGTGCCGGTGCGTTTGCGCCGCGGAAGAGGGTTGAGGGGAAGAGTCGGCGGCTGGAGAGCGCGTTGGGGAAGTTGGGGAAACGGGGGAGGGGCGGTGGTGGGAGTGAGGGCGAGGGCGAGGTGGTGGAAGGAGGGAAGGAGGAGAGGCGCAAGACACAGACGACGACGACGAGCAAAAAGGGCAGGAAGAAGAGGAGGACTGCTGCCACTGAAGAAGAGAACGATGATGACGACGCCAGCACCACCATCCCAGAAAACGGAGACGAGGACGATAACGAGAACGCAAACGACAGTACCAGCGACTACGCCCGCACCAGCAAGCCCAAAAAAGGAAAAAGCACCAAGGGCACCAAGGGCACCAAGCCCAGCAGCACGTCCACGCGCACCCGCCGCCACTAGTTAGCCACACACACAAGCAGCAGAGCAGACAAGCGCCCCAGCACCCACACCACCACCAAACACGCCACACCGCTCCCCCAGCCACACCCCTCGCACCCTCCCTACCAAACAAACAACCCGGCACCCGCACTCTTCCGTCACCACGGTCCACGGGCGCGCAAAAAGCCAGGGGTGCGCGGGAACTAAAAGTAGATCAGACTGCCGTGTCGAGCCTAGCGGCGGGAAATCACGGGTCGGGGGCAGGGAGGCTGGGCCGGGATGGTCCGAGCCGGCGTAGCTAGCGGTGCTGTGCGGTGCTGTGGTTGGTTGGATGGTAGGTGGAGGGGTTTGGGTGTGGGCGGGATGGGGGGCCTGGTTTGCTGTTGTTGGCTGTAGTTGGTAGGTTGCTTGCTTGTGCTGGGGTGGGGTTGCTGGGGTCGTACTCGTGTGGGGTGGAGTGATGGGATCGTGGGTAGGGGAGGAATGTACTGCGTAGGGATTTATTTGGCTGGGGGCGGGGATTAGGGAGGAGGGTGTGTGTATAGTAGTAGTCTATTCGATGTATCTATTTAGTTGCGTGGTTTAGGCATCCCTATAGCGCGGTATAGGTAGGTAGGTACATATGCGGCTCACACCATCTCACACCACATCTCACCACACCACGCTGCTTTTACATACATCTATTTACATCACTACTACGTAGTACGAAAGATCTGACATTTTCTCGAACCCGTTCTAGTAACTACGTAGACCCACTACACGCTGTCTATTTCGCAGTCTGGTGAATTCGTACCCACCACCCTCACACCTATTATACTGCTTTTTCCTGGCTTTCGCACGCCATAAAAATGCACTTAAGCAAGAGAGCGCAGTACCAACATACACAGCGCCTGCAAAGAC